AAGACTTGCTCATTCATTTAGTGTTGATTTCTCTTCCCTCACAGTTCAATCAGTTTAAGATATCTTATAACTGTCAAAAGGATAAATGGTCTCTTAATGAGCTCATATTATACTGTGTGCAAGAAGAGGAAAGGCTGAAGCAAGAAAAGACAGAAGGTGCTCATTTTGTAAGCACCTCTAAAGACAAGGGCAAAAGAAAAAGAACTGAGGATCTCAAGAATGAAGCTGCTAAGGGTCCAGTACAAAAGAAACAAAATCAGGCTGATAACTGTTTCTTTTGTAATAAGTCTGGACATGTAAAGAAGAACTGTGGCAAATATCACGCTTGGCTTGCAAAGAAAGGTATGTTTCTTACTTTGATCTATTCTGAGGTCAATTGAACTTTAGTACCTAGAAACACTTGGTGGTTAGACTCTGGTGCAACTACTAACATCAGTGTTTCAATGCAGGGTTGCCTGAGCTACCGAAAGCCAATTGATGCTGAAAGATGGATCTATGTTGGAGATGGCAAATTGGTGGAGGTGGAAGCTATAGGGCATTTTAGATTATTATTATGTACTAGTTTTTATTTTGATTTGAAAGACACCTTTGTAGTGCCGTCATTTAGACGGAATTTAGTTTCAGTTTCTTATTTAGACAAGGTAGGTTATTTGTGTTCATTTGGAAACAATATGTTCAGTTTTTCTTTTAATTCAAATATTGTTGGAACTTGTTCACTTTTGTCTTATGATAATCTATATTTGCTTGATACTGTAGCTACCTATAGTGAATCCTTAAATACGGAATCACGTGGTACTAAGCGTAAAATTGGCAATATTAACTCAGGAGCATTATGGCACAGGCGCCTAGGTCACATCTCTAAAAATAGAGTTGAATGACTTGTGTCAAATGGGATCTTGGATTCCATTAACTTCACAAATTTTGACGTTTGTGTTGAATGCGTTAAAAGTAAACAGACTAAAACAAAGAAATTAGGTGTGTATAGAGCTACGAATGTCTTTGAGTTGATACATACGGACATTTGTGGGCCATTTCCTACACTTTCATGGAATGATCAACAATATTTTATATCATTCATAGACGATTACTCTAGATATGCATACCTGTTTCTTATACATGAAAGGGCACAATCTCTAGACGTGTTCAAAACATTTAAAGCTGAAGTTGAAAATCAACTTAACAAAAGAATCAAGAGTGTCAGATCTGACCGTGGTGGTGAATACTATGGCAGAAATGACAGTTCAGGTGAACAACGTTCAGGACCTTTTGTCAAGTACCTAGAGGAATGTGGAATCGTCCCACAATATACCATGTCGGGGTCACCTAGCATGAATGGTGTGGCTGAAAGATGAAACAGTACTCTTAAGGATATGGTAAGGAGTATGATTTATCATTCTAACTTACCAGAGTCACTCTAGGGAAAGGCACTAAAGACAGCAGCTTACATTCTAAATAGAGTGCCAACAAAGGCAGCTACAAAAACACCTTATGAGCTTTGGACTGGGCGAAAGCCTAGTTTGAAACATTTTCATATGTGGGGATGTCCAGCTGACGCAAGGCCTTATAAGCCAAATGAAAAGAAATTGGACTCCTGAACAGTGAGCAACTATTTTATTGGTTATTCTGAAAGATCAAAGGGCTATAAATTTTATGACCCAGTCAACTTTCGTCAAGCCATGCAAGGTTCTAACTCTGAAAAGTGGATTAAAGCAATAAAGGAGGAATATAAGTCCATGCAAGACAAGAAGGTTTGGGAACTTGTCCCATTACCAGAAGGTGTGAAACCCATTGGTTGCAAATGGATATTTTAAGACCAAAAGGGATTTCAAAGGTAATGTGGAGAGGTATAAGACTCGTCTTGTAGCCAAGGGCTATACCCAAAAGGAAGGGATTGACTTTAAAGAGACTTTCTCTCCAGTTTCATCAAAAGACTCTTTTAGGACAATCATGGCTCTTGTTACACACTATGATTTAGAGCTTCATCAAATGAATGTCAAGACGGCGTTTCTCAATGGTAACATTGATGAGACAATTTATATGGTGCAACCAGAAAACTTTGTGTCAGGAGATCCAAAGAATATGGTTTGCAAACTGACAAAATCCATTTACGGGCTAAAACAGGCATCTCGTCAATGGTATCACAAATTTCATCAAGTAATTCTATCATTTGGTTTCAAAATGAATCTTGTTGATGATTGTGTGTATCACTAATTCAGTGGGAGCAAGTACATTTTCCTGATCTTATATGTTGATGACATACTGCTTGCCACTAATGATATAGGCATATTGCACGAAACCAAGAGATTTCTGTCTAGAAATTTTGAAATGAAAGATCTTGGTGACGCCTCCTTTGTATTAGGAATTTAGATACACCGAGATCGATCTCGGGGTACTCTTGGATTATCACAAAGAAACTATATTGAAAAGTACTTCAAAGATTTGGCATGCAGGAATGTAAAGCAGGAGATACTCCAGTTGCTAAGGGAGACAAGTTCAGTCTCAAACAGTACCCAAAAGGAAATTTGGAAATTCAAGAAATGCAGAAGATTCCCTATGCATCAGCTATAGGGAGTTTGATGTATGCCCAAGTATGTACGCGTCTAGATATAACATACATAGTTGGGGTATTAGGCAGATATTTAAGCAATCTAGGAATGGATCATTGGAAAGCAGCCAAAAGGGTTATGAGGTATTTGAAGAGAACAAAGGATTATATGCTCACATATAAGAGGTCAAACCAGTTGGAGATCACTGGGTATTCTAACTCGGATTTTGCAGGATGCCAAGATAGTTTGAGATCCACTTCAGGTTAGATTTTCATATTGGCTGGTGGTGTGGTTTCTTGGCGCAGTATCAAGCAAACCCTTACTGCTTCATCCACTATAGCAGCAGAATTTGTAGCATGCTATGAGGCATCAAATCATGAAATATGGTTGAGAAATTTTGTCACAGGGCTGCAAATTATGGAAGGAATTGAAAGACCACTTAAGTTATATTGTGACAACAAATCAGCTATATTGTATTCTAACAATAGGAGCTTGACCAAGTCGAAGCACATTGACATCAAGTTCCTAGTTGTTAAGGAAAGAGTACAAAGTGGACAGATTTCCATAGAACACTTACGGACAAACTCCATGATAGCAGATCCTCTTACTAAGGGACTTCCACCCAAGGTCTTTCATGAGCATGTTGCTCACATGGGTGTTCTACAGTTTGAGGAATCTTTAATTTAGTGGGAGTTAGTCACTTTTATGTATTTTATGTTCTATGTTTGATTTTATGTATGCATACATTGACTTTTGGATATATTAATATATATGTTTTATCATTCAGTCATTACACTTTGTACATTAAGGTTATTGAATGATCTCATTGATGTAAAGTAGGACCAGTTGAAAATAGACGTGATTTTCATGTTACTCATTTCATGATGAGTCTATGTCATTTGATTCTGTCAGCATTAGTAATCATTGATGAGTTTAGTTGTGATTGATACAATGAAAACTATTTTGGTTCTATATGCGGATGTAATCAATGGACGAGATTTTTAGAATATGCTCAAGGCATGTAATAGCAAATTTTGAGCTCATAAAGTCTAAAACATTTATAAGGATTGTAAGGATATATATATTTGTGACTAGTGGGAGATTGTTAGCAATTTTTTGGGTCACACATATATATTATATAATTAAATGTGTTAGGGCCATTATTTTATTAGCCAAAATATTAAAGTGGTCTAATTAATATAAAATTTATAGCTAAGGGCACATATATTATGAAAAGCTAATTATGTAGATACCATTAATAATATTATAATTTAATGAGGAGCTAAATTATAATTATCAAATTTGGAGTAACTGATGGAAGTTACCAAAATAGTCCCTATTTATAGAGCCAAGTAACACACGTAAAAACATACGACTCTTTTCTCTTCATCCCCATTAGGAGAGAAATTCAAGAGGAACCTAAAGCTCTCTACATTTAGAAGATTATCAAACGAATCTTGAATCTCATCACCTTATTTGTTCTCAATGACAAATTCAGGTACGCTTCCGCATTTAGTTTTTATCATGATCTTGAGTATGGGATAGAAAGCATGTGATTAGGTTGATTGATTGATTCCTAACATACACATCCTTGCATAAAGAAGATATATTTACATAAATATTGAATTATGTTTCCTTTCTCTCCATTGTACTCTCACCATACTCTTACCACACTGTAAAGAAACATCTCGCATGTGTGTATTCTATTGAAGCACCATCTTTAGTAGACAAAATTTTTTGAGTAATCCTCACTCATTGTATCAAAATTATCACTCATTAAATGAGCATTAGGGTGTTTATTACGTGAACACACAACACCAACCGCGTGCGTCATAGCTGTAAAGGCATGTGTAAACTATCATCATAATTAGAATAGTGCATTCGCCTTGTGAGGTCGATAAACAAAACAATATCTCACAATTAGGATTACCAGAAAATGGATATTGATAATTATATTAGACAATATAAACATATACAAACGTGTAATCTATTTAAATCCTTATGCATGTTTAGGTAATGCTGTAGGGTTTAGGTTTTACCAACTGCTGCATGAAGAACTCGTGAGAGAGAAAAAAAATGGAAAGAACTAATTGAACTGCAAAATACAAGTACATGACTCTAAATCTTGCTGAACCAAAGACAGCTTTTACTCCACTAATCTTTAAAAACAGAATCGGACAGAGACTACAACTCAAGCATAAATGTCTGCAACCAACTTTTCTAAAACTAAAACTCGACTCAAACTGAATCAAACAGAACCGAAAACACAAACTTCGCAGCCTTGAGACTGACAAATGTGCTGTCAATCTTAAGGAACACAATGTTAAAAGGATAAAATTTCTTAACACTTGATACGACCAAATTTTCAAGATGTTAGCCTCATGAAGGTCTTACAAGCTCCAAAAAAAGCTATATATTATTCAACTGGTTTGCATTAAAGAATCGAAAGTAAATTTATTTGTGAAATTCAAAGACTCCCATGGTGAAGAATGCACGACAAGCAACGTGAAATCTTGAGAATCCAGAAAGCTTGCACAAAGCCTCGTATTCCTTCACAGTTCTTTCCTTCCCGCTGTTTGTTATATACATGAGATTATCGAGGACGGCAACAAGTTTTGAGGCATTTGACTCTGTTGCTTCTTCTGTTACGAACTCTATAATAATCACCCTTCCATCTTGTGGCAGGGCATTGTGACAGTTCCTCAAAAGGCTTATGCATTGTTCATCTGACCAATTATGCAATACAGACTACATATAATGCAATCGAAGAAGTTAGGATTGTTGACATAATTGTGGGATCAATCATTCTTAAAGATGAAATTGAAGTGTCACAAAGTGTTTTCTAACCTGAAGAATTATGGCATCACCCTGTGGTACATAAGTGAACATGTCTCCTCCAACATGTTGGATTCCTTAATTTATGCAATTTGGACAGTGTTTCAGTCGATGTTTTAGCAAAACAAAAACAGAAAAAATTGTACTTGCATGCATCATGCAGTTGGTGTACATATGACGATAGTAAAACAAAAGGGAATGGCATAAACACATATATACCTGGATAAGCTGGCGCTTGTTCAACAACTTGGGGCAAATCAAAATTGACACCCTTAATTGTAGGGTACTTGGAAATTATCATGCGAAGATTTTGTCCCGTACATCCTCCCACGTCAACTAGGGTTGGAACTCCTTCAAATCCTTTGTACACTTCAAGGATCCTATTCATGTTTATGGTGCAAATATTAGCCATGGATTTGTTGAAAATGCTTTTCATTGTTTCATCCTTTTTTCTATATTCGAACAAAGATATTCCATGAACCTTCTTGAATAAGTCGTCCTCCTCAGCGTTAAGAATTACCTCCTTATATTTTGGCCTAAAATCAAAGCACCACAGCAAGGTAAGTAAATTATTATTTTTTTATCATAAACAATATACATTTTATTAACATAAAAATGATTAAAAAATTTATCCTCCTTTATTTTTCACTCAAAATACTATTTTATAAATAAACTATTAAGATAGTTTTAATACGAGTGACATAAATACATTTTATTAATAAGTAACGTGTGCTTTAAAATTTGTAGCATTAAAAGAGATAAAGTATACAAGCAGCAATTTAACCAATAGTCATGCTTTTTAAGGCAATAGAAAGGTACTTACGCCATAGGATTTATTATATTTTAGTGGACTCACAAAAATTTTAGTTAACTATTTTTTTCTTGTACAGAGGAATGATTAAATTCAATAAATTTTAAATAAATAAATTTAGATATGCTATAGGACTATTTTTAATTTTTAATATATTATAATTATTTATTAAAAATATTTTATATTAAATAAAATTTTGAAAAACATAATTTAATATTTAATTAAAAAAAATAGATAACATAAAAATAAAAAAGTAGAATCTAAACTAAACTCTCATTTCATAGTAAATTTTTTTTTTTACTATGCTATGTTTAAAATTTTAAAATATCATGTTAATATCTCCCTTTTATTTCTATCAATTATTGTAGTCTCTAAATAAAAAAAATTACAAAATACTGACATATTTTATAACATGCTATGTAAATTGTGAAAGTGCATTATTCATTATATTTTATAAGAATTTTAATTAGCAATGAAGAGTAGACTATACCAAAGTTGTGACATTGCAGGATAGTTGAGAAAATTTGCAATGGCACTGGCGCAACCCCTTTCTTCATCACTGACGAAGTACTTTCCAACAGCTGAGATTCCAAAGAATCTCTCAATGCTACCATCTTGATTGGTGTGAGGAGAACAAGTGAGAAGAGAATAGCTTGCAAGGAGACGCAGCATGCGCTCAAGTCTATTAGGCAAACCTGGGTATTGGTTTGGCAACTTAGAAGCAATTTGGGATGCTGACACAGTTCCGCCATGGGGTGTTGCATTTGCTATTATGTCAAACAAATTCAACTCAATAGATGCATTGAGTACTGAAGGAAACACTTGACTTGTGCAGAGTAACATAGCATAAAGACATGCCTCATCCTCTCTTCCCTCGTTCGGACTTGCAGGATTCGAACTCATATTTGCTTTTTCCCTCTCTCTACTCTCTGTTTATTTTGTTGTTGTTCTCTTCAATGTCTTTCGCATTTTCGAGTAGTGCATATGCTTTTTTATAGCCAAACATGGATCTAAGATCTATACGACATTATGACCACAAACATTTTGTTAGTTCGGGAAGTTAAATACTTCAACCACAAACATCCGCCAACAACTTTTCATACCTACTCCCTTTATTTATTTATATATTTATTTATTTATTATGTGTAGTTTTAAATGATATTTTAAACACTTTTTAAGGCCTTGCACGACCGTGCTCATCTGCGGGAAGTCCATTTATAAAGAGTTTGTAGGTTTTTAAATCCTATAAATGGGAAGATCTCAGGTATCGTAAAGGGACCATTTTTACATCTTAGCTTTGACTCTAGAATACATCTGATCTCGTCTCTCTTACACGGGATCCTTGGCACATGCTTGACGACACTTAGAGCTTCAAGTGATCATACTTGAAGACCGAGAACACATTTCACACTCTAATTTGCTATTTCTTTTGGTTATGGTTTTGTTTATGATTATTTTAGTTCTTTTCTTTAGCATGAGTAACTAAGTCCATAGCTAGGGCTATAGAAACTATTGTTCATGAATTCATAAAATTTTGATATTTGAATTTAAATTTAATTTTCCTTTTGTGATTAGATTTTATCCTATTGCGCTTCTTTCTTAATCTTAATTAATTATATCGTCAGGCGACCATACCTCAGTTAATTAATAGATCTATAAGGTAAAACGAGACAAAGGATTAAGTGAACCAAAACAATCTTTCTCTTCTAATCGTTATTAAATTAGCAAGTTCATAAATTACTCAAGCTTTCTCAAATTGATGTTTTGCATGATTATTAGAGATATTAATTTAGATAAAAAAAATATTAATATTGCATGACCATTGTGTATTAATAGTATTTAGATAAATGATTGGTAATCACAAGGAAACCAGATTTAGAGTTAAATAGAAAAATAACATAAAGGATTGAATGAGAAAACCCATATGCCCTAGATTCCTTTCTGATAAGTTTAACCAAAACGTGCATTGTATTCTTTGCTCGTAGTTTTATAATTAATTTTATAAATTCTTATTTTTAATTAATCTCGTATATTTGAAGTTTAAACAATTGAATTAGAAAATTTTTAGTAATTGAAAATCAATCCTTGTGAGACGATATTTCGAGAACTTAATTTAAGAACCATTATTACTTCTCGATGGGTACACTTACCCTTCGAACAGAGCGATAGATGAAAATCAATCTTAGTTTCTCAAACTTGATTTTAATTACACTTTTAATTATTTTCTTAAATTATAGTTTTTACACATTTTCCATGAAACTCATTCGATTTCTTTTTAACCTTAATCTTAATGCTAGATAGTTTATTAATGAGAAATCAATATTTAAAAAATTATCTTAAAAGTATATTTTCAAGGAATTGAAATATATGATTTTAGTGTGTTAGCATCAATTTCAATAGAATCTATTGCTATACATGTCACTGAATCACAAGAATATAAAGATCTAACTTGATTTTAATCACACTTTCAATCATTTTTTAAATTATAGTTTTTACACATTTTTCAAGAAACTCATTAATCAACTTCTTTGTATATATATTCAATTAATCTTTACCTTAATAATTAACATAACAATATCCCAGTATTCACCAATTTGATTCACCTATCATGCGTAAAAATCACTTATATTATGTCTTTTCTCATCTTCTACCTGCAATAAGTGTCAATATGTCATTTTAGAAAAATAAATGTCAAATTTAACATATAAATTTAAAAGCATATAACTTTATCTATAATCAATCTCATATCTGATTCCAAATCTAAATGCAAGAAAAGAAGAGAATTGTGTTAAACTTTCCAAAAATAAAAGTTTATATTAAAATTTTTTAAAATTATTAAAAGATTTAAATTACTATTTAAAATATCTTAAAAATAATATTCTTTTAACACAATATTAATTTATAAATATTAATTTAAAATAATAAAATATTATTAAACTAAATAACATGAAAATGTTGAATTTATTTTCTTGTCAACATATGAATATAAATGAAAGATATAATATTTTATAAAAAACTTTTTTTTTAAAAAAATTATTACATGCCTCAATTTATTTAATAATTGAATTGTTAGAGTTATTGTATAATAAACATTATTGCACGAGGAGTATGGACTAACAAGACATGGGAAGTCTTATTGAAATTGTGATCTAAAGAAAAATGATTAAACTAGCATTTTAGTCCCTGAAGAATTTTAGGTCTAGCATTTTAGTCTTTGAGATATTTAAAATATCACATTAGTCCGCAACTTCTTTCTCTGTCATGCATTTTAGTCCCTGATGTTAGACCCCGTTAAAAAATGGTCACAGAAGACTGAGCTGATACGTTAAGTGCTACGTCAGAATTCCAGTTGGCAACAACGACATCGTTTTGGAAGATTGGGGTGACACAAAAAAAATCTTTTTTTTTTTCAAAAAGTCTCAACGTCCTCCTTGAGAGTCACCCTGCGAGACGTCCAGTAGTCTTTGACTTGGTCTTAGAATCGTAAGTTTCAGCCCGTTCCTAGCTTGCCTCGCTCTCAGGTTGGCCCTTCTACTTGACTAAGTAGTATTCTATTCATGTCGAAGCTGCAACTAAAGATGAGTGGCTGTTGTACGAACATTGAACTATTGGCTCTAGCAACCCAATGTATGTAGATGAAAGACGAGTTCAGAAGTACTGGATAGGTGCCTCCCCTTAGCTCCCTTTCTCTTTCCTTTTTTCCATTTTTGCTACTCCACCCTGTCCTCTCCCCTTCCTGCTACCCACTCACACTTCAACTTTATACCTACCCCATGCCTTCCCTTACCCCTTATTCAAAATCTTATATAACTATTTTCTTCTTTTTGGCTACCATGAAAAAAGAGGTTCAGGAACAACAAATAATAGACAAATATTGTAGGGTCATTGCAAGTTAATGAAACTCTTAAATCCAAAAAAATCCAAAAAATGAAGAAAGAAAGAGTGTGGGATATAGAGTGAGGGTGTGTGGTGGGGTTAGAAAGGAGGGAAGTGAAAAACAACATGAAGGAAGAGTGTGGGATTAGGCTGTGTAAGAATGTGGAATTGAAAGTGGGAGAAAGGGTAGAGTTGAGGAAGGGAAAGGGGAGAGGGAGGGGTTAGAGTGTGAAAAGGGAGGAAGTGGAGAACTAAGTGAGGAGAGTGTGAGATTAAGAGTGTAGAAGAATGTGGAGTTAAAGGTGAGGGGAAGGGGTAGGGGTGTGAGAAGGAGGAAAGTGGAGAACAGGGTGAGAAGAGTGTGAAATTGAGAATGTGAGAAAATATGAAGTTAAAGGTGGGAGAAAATTGAGGAAGGAGAAGGAAAGTGTTAGGGTGTGAGAAAGGGAGGAGTAGAGATCATAGTGAAAGAAAGTGTAGACTTAAAGGTGAGAGAAAAAGTGATGTTAAGAAAAGAAAAAGGGGAGAGAAAGAGAGAGTTAGGGTTAAGGTGCTTAAAAGACAAGTAAATGGATATGGAATAAAGGTGTGAAGAGAAAAGGAAGGGAAGAAGTTGAGGGTGTAAGTATGAGGTGAAGAAAGGAGAAAAGTGGAGGTGAGAGTAAGATTGAGATTAGAGTTGTGGGTGTAAAAAAAAAAAGGAGTGAAGATAAAAGGAAAGAAAAAGGTTAGGATGGAGTAGGTAAAAAAGAGAAGGGAAAAAAAGGACTAAGAGAAAAAAAAATACGAATAGAGAACGAGACTTATTAATAAATGTAAAAAATATAATTAAACATTTATTTAAAATAATAAAATATTATTAAACTAAACAACATGAAAATATTGAATTTATTTTCTTGTTAACGTATGAATATAAATGAAAGAAATAATATTTTATAAAAAACTTTTTTTTTCAAAAAATTATTACATGCCTCAATTTATTTAATAATTGGATTGTTGGAGTTATTGTATAATAAACATTATTGCATGAGGAGTATGGACTAACAAGACATGAGGAGTCTTATTAAAATTGTGATCTAAAGAAAAATGATTAAACTAATATTTTAGTTCCTAAGAGATTTTGAGTTTAGCATTTTAGTCTCTGAGACATTTAAAATATCACATTAATCCGCAACTTCTTTCTCCTTCATGCATTTTAGTCCCTGACGTTAGACTCCGTTAAAAATCGTCACAGAAGGCTGAGCTGTCACGTTAAGTGCTATGTCAGAATTCTAGTTGGCAACAACGACATCGTTTTGGAAGATTGGGGTGACACAAAAAAAATCTTTTTTTTTCAATAAGTCTCAACGTCCTCGTTGAGAGTCACTTTGCGAGACGTCCAGTAGTCTCTGACTTGGTCTTAGAATCGTAAGTTTCAACCCGTTCCTAACTTGCCTCGCTCTCAGGTTGGCCCTTCTACTTGACTAAGTAGTATTCTATTCGTGCCGAAACTGCAACCAAAGATGAGTGGCTATTGGACATTGAACTATTGGCTCTAGTGATCCAATGTATGTAGATGAAAGACGAGTTTGGAAGTACTGGATAGGTGCCTCCCCCATGAAATGTAGCTTATGCGGAACCTATTACTCCTCAACCACCAACTAGCAACTCTTGATAGAGAAGCTTTGTAAGGGCCATTTTAGGGCAAGCCCCACTCAATGCGGTTTTTGTCTTTTCTTGATGAAATTCAATCCTCTCTTATTGAATTTCTTCTTTGTGCTGATAGGGAAGCCCTTTCTTTGGCCTACATAAACCAAAAAACATCTTTTAGGTACATAGTAGCGTTAGCGTACTAAGAGCCCTCTGGTTGCATTGAAAAAAGATGAACTTTTTCTCCTTAACTATGATGGTTCAAAAGATGCCACATTTGCCTCAAGACCCACAGCTTACGCTCCGCGATTTGTTGCTTCCAAAGTTTTCGATTGGTTTTATTTCTACCCGAGTTTCAAGTCATTGTCTCAATTGGTGACCTAAGATAAGCCAACTTATAAGATCCTAATTGAATGAATTGATGTTGAGTAAAAGCCATTCACTTGAGAACAATTCTGCGATTGGAACTCGATTTGGGATTGGGATCTTAAGGCACTAAGAACCTACTATATAGTACATTCAAGAGTACCCTCAATTGCTGTTTTCGGCCGACAATGTCCACCTTTTAAGATAAGAACCAGATATTGAGGTTGTTTATTTTCCATGGTACTCCGATCCAGGCCTTCATCCCTTATATCTTCCTCCTGGTGAAATCTGATAACGAAGTAACCATGGCTCAAGTCCACGAGTGCCACAATATTCCCTTTTGCTTGCTACAAGCTCCTTAGCCAACATAGGCTAAAGGAATTTTAATGACAACAACACCGTTTTGCAATTATTTGTGCACGCCAGCTTCCAAAACGACGTCGTTGCTGCCAATTAGGATTCTGACGTAGCACTTAACGTGACAGCTCAACCTTCTGTGACAGTTTCTTAACAGGGTCTGACATTAAAGACTAAAATACATGACAGAGAAAGAAATTGTAGACTAACGTTAAATACCTCAAGTACTAAAATATTAGACTCAAACACTTTCGAGACTAAAATGCTAATTTAGTAAAAAAAAAAAATTAGACGCAAGATCAATACTTGAATGTATGGTCAATATTTATCATAAAAAAAAATTGATTGATTTTTTAAGAATTAAATCTTTAAAAAATTATACTTATTACAAAATATTTAATATTTATAAAAATTAAAAGTATAAATAAATTATTTTTATATTTATATTTTAAAAAATAAATATCAACTTACAATTTTTACTTAAACAATAGAATATCTGTGTTCCATGCCCATAATCCAAAAATCTTACTATATTTCGCGTGATACGCGTGGAGACATCGTAATTGCTGCTGCTGACAATATCGGCCACCATTAGGTCCAGCTGACCCACCCACTGCAGCATATGGTCCCATACGTGTCTGTGTATTTTAATTTTATGTGAATTATAGTACCATGTCACGGGTTCACTAAAAAAACTTACCAAAAAATTTAAATGTTGTGCAGTAAAAAATAAATATAATTTTTTATACATAAAAAAGTCAATCAAAAAATTATATGTAAATAATTTGATCACATGTAAATCATAACAAATCTGAATTTTTTACAGCAGTAAAATATCTGTCCAAAAATCGAAGTTGCTCAACATAAATCATTATAGGCTATTTTTTAATGGAAGAGTAGCAAATAATCCAAATTCATATCACGACAGCTACCGGATAAGGTGTACGTAGCACATGGGGGACTGATTTATTTTGACCACATTAAATTCTGACAATAACTTTTTACAATACTAATATTCGAAATTTTACTTTTAGTGTTAAATCAAAGTAGAAGTGAAAGATATGAGAAAAGAAAGAGAAAAACAAAAGAAATAAAAAAGATAAAAAGGACGAGAGTATCTATTTTATTATTTTTTTTCTTTTTACTTCTCTAAATTATTAATTTTTTTTTACAAGAAACATTTCTCTTAGAAAAACACTGTAAACAGAAATATTATAACAACTTAACTATTATAACACAAACAATTTTTAATTAAATTTAAGGATACGGATTTTATGCCATGTATGCAGTTCTGAGTCCTCCCGTGAAAATTTATAAAATAATATATTATCTTTTGATAAAGAAATTACTACTTTTAGATGTTTAATTCAATTTTAAAAATTAAAAGTTAATAAAATTCTTTAATTTAACGGCTCAAACAGTTAAATTTAACAAATATGAATATTCAGGTGGATCCATTATATCAAACCCAACTTGTTGCCTCTATTTAAAAGACCCCAACTATAAGATACACTATGGTAAAATTATTAACATGCCACTATAAGAACACAAAAGAACCTCCACCCTTCTCCTCTAGTTATTAAATCTCACCTCTCATTCAGCAAGGAACTTTTGCTATGTATATGAATCTACACGCTAAACTTTCTCATAAACTTAATGTGACTGTTGACCACCACATAATTTTCAATTTACTTGCTTGGATACAATCAAATTAAGAACGAAGAGAGCAAATACGTGACTAGGGAAACTTGGAGCAGTTCCAATTGTGGTTCTTGGAGCTGGTGAAGAAAATAATGAAAGTAAGCAACATAGAAGAGTTAGGAACTTTACCCAAGAAACTTGAGAAGGATAAAGAAAGAGTGTTGTTACGAAGATGGAACATGATGTGCTTTCTTGTTTTTTCCTTCTTTTTCTCCCTAAACAGGATTTCATGATTCTTCTCTTTTTACGAACCTCTTATGAATCTTGGGTTCTCCAGTGACGAAGATCCCTAAATGTTGGTTTATGATATATACTGAATAATTCGTGAGGGAAGCAAAACGTGCATCAATATGTATGTGACTTGGTGCGTGTGGACCTGGGAATGCGAAAGTGACACTACTTTGTGTACTAGTTCTGCTACTTCGCCCCTCCCTGTGCCTGCAAGGGTGAAAGTAAAAAAATTAATGTTAATACTTTTATATTTATTTTTTTATCATTTTTTATTTATCGAATATCCAAAATGTGAGTGTGAGAACGGATATTGTAAGTGCAGTGCTATCCCAATCCTCCTTCTGCTGAGTGGGTTGGTTAATGTGTACAAGTGTGCTTAGTGGGAAGTGATCGAATAATAGAAAAATATTATTTTAACATCTAATTTTATATGTATTGATTAAAAAACATTATATAAATGTCTGACATAAATATATTTTAAATGCACATAAAAAAAATAGATGTTAAAATAGTATTACTGAGAATAATAATATGAAGTGATAAAAATGGATGGAGGACCACTAGAAATAGATAAAAAGCTATTTTCCTTTTAAAAATGTCAATTATATTAAAATTGTAAAAAAAATATAATAATTTTTAAAATTTAATATTTTTATTGTTTAAATTCAGTATAAAAAATTAATGTTAACAATTTTTTATTCTTGTGTATGTAAAGAGAGAGAGAGAGAGAGAGAGAGAGAGAGAGAGAGAGAATTTATTGACGGGGGCGTTTGATATTCAGTTTGAATTGCTTTTGCAGTAAAAAGCAACAAATCCAATTATTCAATAAACATATGGTTAGATTTGTAGAGTCATAAAAAATTAAATTAAATTCATTTTTTGATGTTTAGATTAAATTATTTATTTTAGTTTCTATTTTGATTTTATTTTTTATTATATAGTATTGCTTTTGTTTACAAATAATTAAAATTTAATTGATTAGAGCATAAACTGAGTAATGTTTCAATATGTAATTTTTATAGTGATTATTATTTTTTATTTATATAACACTAATTAGATAAAAGACTAAACATTAAATAAATATAAATATAAATATAAATATTTAATCAATTTTATTATAAATTATAACTCTAAATTATAAATCACAAGTAAAAAACTCAAATTTTATAAATATAAATATTTTAAACAAAATATATTCTAACATTTTGTTTATGTAATGATAAAATATAAAAGATGGTGTAAATTTAATATATTTATGATTCAATTTAGTTTTGTTTAGTTTTAAATATAATAATTGAAAATTAAACTAAACTGTATAATTAAGAAAATGTAATTCTTTTTTTTATTTAGTTTTCAGTTTATTTAGATAAATTTAGCAGTTTGAAACAATTTGAAAAGGTTCCTGAACACCCCCTAATAGTTTTCAATATGTAATTTTCTCATTAATATTATTAGTTAAATTAATGAGAAACATAACTAATAATTATGCTCACAGGGACAAAAAAGAAGAAGAAGAAAAAGCAGATGTATATCTATGAGAAGTTTTAGTGAAGAAAAGAGAAGAAAACACCAGATTTGTAAGAACTTTTTTTTTTTTCATAAATACTAGCTTAGCGGAAATTCAACTTTATTCTTATTAATTTGGCTGTAAAATTAAACTTTGTACTTAAGTTGCTGATATAATTTTACTTGATACGACCAACTTTTCAAGAAGCTTTTAGCCCCGTGAAAGTTTTCCACAAACTCGAATCCATAAAAAGCAATATAACTTTTAACTAGTTTTGCATTGTATGATCGAAAGTAAATTTATTTGTAAAATTCGATGATTCCCAAGGCAGAGAATGCACGACAGGCAACTTGGAATCTTGAAAATCCAGAGAGCTTGCACAAAGACTCGTACCCCTTTTCAGTTCTCTCCATTCCACCATTTGTTATATACATGACGTGGTCAAGGGTGGAAACAAACTTTGCTGCATTCGACTCTGATGCTTCTGGTGTTATGAACTCCATCACAATCACCTTTCCATCTTGTGGCAGTGCATTGTGACAGTTCCTCAAAATGCTTACGCATTCTTCATCTGACCAATTGTGCAATACAGACTACATATAATGTAATTGGAGAAATTAGTAATCTTTTTGTTCACAAAATTGTCGGACCAATCATTCTCAAATTTGGAATTCAAGTGTGTCAAAAAATGTTTTCTAACCTTCATGACTATGGCATCACCCTGTGGCACGTAATTGAACATATCTCCTCCAACATGTTGTATCCCTTAATTTATGCAATTTTGGACAGTGTTACAGTCAATGCTTTAGTAAAAAAATGTACTTGCATGCATCACCAAACCAATGTAAAAGTGACGACAGAAATAAAAAACTAGGGAATGACAATATATACCTGTATAAGCTGGTGCTTTTTCAACAACTTGGGGCAGATCAAAATTGATACCCTTAATCGTAGGGTACTTGGAGATTATCATCTGTAGATTTTGGCCTGTACCCCCTCCCACATCAACCAGGGTTGAAACTCCTTCAAATCCCTTATACACTTCGAGGACCCTATTCATCTCTATGATGCTGATATTAGCCATTGATTTGTTGAAAATGTAATTCAATTTTGGATCCTTTTCAGTGCATTGGTACAAGGACATTCCATGAACCTTCTTGACTAGGTCCTTCTCAGTAGCAATAATTACATCCTTCAAATTGGGCCTGAAATGAAAGCAGCAAGCCAAGGTAAAATATAAACACTCGCTCAAACTAACCAACTTTGGTGATCTTACTAATAATAGTAATGTGTGTGTGTTGCTAATGATACTGTAAAGCAAGGAAAAGTAGGTACCAAACTTGGGACAGTGTGGGATAGTTGAGAAATGATGTGACTGTAGCCGCACATCCCTTACTTTCATCATTGACGAAGTACTTTCCAACAGGTGAGAGTCCATAAGATCTCTGAATGCTACCATCTTCATCGGTGTGAGTGAAAGAAGTGAGAAGAGAATAGCTTGCAAGTAAACGCAGCATGCGTTCAATCCTATTAGGCAAGTCTGTGTGTTGGTTTGGCAACATAGAAGCAATTTGTGATGCTGACATGGTTTCACCATTTGGGGTTCCCTTTGCTATTATGTCAAACAGTTTCAGCTCAACAGCAGCATTCAGTGCCGAAGGTAACACTTGAATAATGCAGAGTAACAAAGCATGAAGGCATGCCTCATCCTCTCCCTCTTCATTGGGAGACATTTTCACTGCAACATCACTTGTAGAGTAGGAACCCATATTTGCTTCTTCTCTCTCTTTAACTTGTTCTTTGCAGATGTGTTGCCTCTCTACTGCATTTGCTTTTTATAGCCAAATTTGGCTCTCAGTTGCACAAGACATTCACTGATTGATGTTAATTACAAAACTATAAAATATGAACTCGAGTAATCAGATATATTTCACGCGATATGCATGCCAGGATGCCAAAAGCTGACTCCGCATTGAACTTAATTAAATAAAGCGTAGATGAACTTGTGTAGCAAATGTTTCTCTATACTTTAATAATTATATCACTTTAATATAGTCTTCTGTTGAATATAACTGGTTATAAACATGCACGTGTAGCTGTATTACATTTAAATAATATGTTTGCTTGGAACTATCTGTATATCACTTTAATTTGCACTCATAACATGCAAATTATTTTGGTGTCGCTGGATTACAAATAAAGAATAATATCTTTGATGAGAAATTTCTGGACATTCTCATTTGTTCTGCGAATGTGGAATATTAGGAATCCGCCGCTTTTCACCGGTTCATGCATATATATGAAGCTTTCTCTATTTATAAATCAATCTATCATTAAATATAATAAAACTGAATGAGTTTGTTATTGTTAAATCCACGTCTCTAAGTTTAGTATTTTTTAAAACAAAATAATATGATTAAAACTTAATCTAAAGAAAAAAAATTCTCTTACGCAGTATTCAAGTAATATTATTTGAATTTTGTTAGGATTTTGAATGGGAATGAAAGTAATTGTAATCCGTCCATATTTTAGAGTGTTTTTATGATTTATTTTAATATGATTATCCTTTATTTGATAAAAATTTTACACTAACTTATTTATTATCGGCTATAATTAAGCATAAAGAGATTACCAATGTTATATTAATATTTTTTTTGTCACGGTTGAATGAAATTTTATAAAATTTAAGACTATATTCAATAGAAAGGGCAACTACGCTCCACAGCCTGTTTGGGAGTACTTCATGAACATGCATGACTCTGTTGAAGGTTATGCATGGTCAATATTATGAATATACAATTAATTTCAAAATTAAAATTTTAATCTAGATTAAAAATTTTGAAATTAACCCCAAATCATTATTATTTTTTAGATTCTACACTCTAATTAAAGAGTTCTACACTTGAAAAAGCAATTTTGATTTGGAAATTTTTGCCTAGTCAACTTTTGACAACTTGTAGAGCTGTTTTTTTAGAGTGAAGATATAGAATATCTTTTTGAAGTTTGAGTAAGTGATTGAGAGCGCTTTTTGGGGACAAGAACTCTTCTCATTTTTTTTTGTCGTAAGATTCCTCTAGTATACTCTCATTGTTTATTTTATTATAAGTAGTTAAATCTATAATTAGGATTACGGTGGATCCTTTGCACACTTTATATGATTTTTATGTCTAATGACAATTGTTATTTTTCTTTTTGATTGGTTTGCTCTAGCGAGATTATATTTATATGTTGAAACTTGATAACTCTTAACGTCTCATAATTAATTACATTGTAAATGATCGTACTAAATATAGCTAATGAAACTATATGGCAAAACAAGACAAAGAATAGAGTAGATCAAACTTTTTAACCAACAAAAATTTCTCTTTAGTTTGAGTAATAATTCATTAAATCATGCAATTTAACAAAAGAGAAAAAAAGAAAAGAAACAACAAAGAGTGGGAGAGACAAGAGAAATCTAGTAACATCACTTGTAGAGTAGGAACCCATATTTGCTTCTTCTCTCTCTTTAACTTGTTGTTCTTTGCAGATGTGTTGCCTCTGTACTTCATTTGCTTTTTATAGCCAAATTTGGCTCTCAGTTTAATTACAAAACTATAAAATATGAACTCGAGTAATCAGATACATTTCACGCGATATGCATGCCAGGCTGCCAAAAGCTGACTCCGCATTGAACTTAATTAAATAAAGCGTAGCTGAACTTGTGTAGCAAATGTTTCTCTATACTTTAATAAAATATATCACTTTAATGCAGTCTTCTGTTGAATATAACTGGTTATAAACATGCACGTGTAGCTGTATTACATTTAAATAATATGTTTGGTTGGAACTTTCTGTATATCACTCTAATTTGCACTCATAACATGCAAATTATTTTGGTGTCACTGGATTACAAATAAATAATATGTTTGATTAGAACTTTTTTTGGACATATTTTCATATGTTCTGCGTATGTGGAATATAACCGGTTATAAATATGCACCTCTAAAATCACCTTTTTCTTTTTGGTATATATATATATATATGTTTGATTGGTACATATTCTGACAAGTTTTGTTATTGTTCCATCCATGTTTCTGATTTTTCTTCTAGTATAACAGATTTATGTGCTATGGGCATTCATATTTTACTTTACTTATAAACATGTTTCAATATTTTTTTTTAACAAAAATATTTTAAAACCTCGTTATATAAAAATTTAGGTTTAAATAATGGTTTAACTTCTGTACTTGATTCGAATTTGTAAGCTAGTCCTTATATGTAAAAAAAATTATAAATTATTTCTCAAATGTATATTTATTTTTAATTTAGTATTAGTCGTTAAGTTTAGAGTAAACAACGTTAAATAAATAAGGGACAAAATTGAGAATAAATATAAAAGAAGGATTAATTTATAAATGTTTTATATATATATAGACTAATTTACAAAATTTTACATACAGGGACTGACTTATAAAATCTGAATTAAAAGTATTTTTACAAATTTATAATACATCTTCAATTTGTATTTTGATTTTGTGATTCATTCACACACTCTCTTTTACCTTTACCTTTCATTCTACTATCTTCATTTTCCTTCTTCCTCTAAGTAAATTTTAATGGAGGACACAATCTCTTTTTCTCTTAGCTTCTTATCCATAAAACTCAATCAACTCTTAATAATAATCTTCGTTAAATTATCTTCTCTTCTCTACTACTTTATCATCTTCACCCACACACATGTACCCCAAACCTCAATCCCTCGTCAAAACATTTTTCGTCCTTCAATGCACCCTAATCAGTGTTGCTAGTAACAAAATTACTAGCAAATTTATTTACGTCTTTATCCACTTCTTTAACATCGATATAAATTAAAGTGTATCGCAAATTTATAAAAAATATTTTTAACTTAGATTTATAAGTTAGTCTTTATATGTAAAATTTTGTTAATTTTTACATGTAAAAAATTTATAAATCAATCCTTATATTATATTTATTTTTAATTTAATATTTTATTTATTTAACGTCATTTTCTCTAAACTTACCGATACAGACTAAATTAAAAATAAATATATGTATAAAGACGAATTTATAAATTTTTAATATGTAATAACTAACTTATAAGTATGCACCAAAACATTATTTAAACTAAAAATTTATTTGACATTAAAAGAAAAAAAAAATCCTCCCTCCTTCCGCACAATTTTCCCTCCATTCGATTAGCGGTGGCAAAATGATTACCCAACGAGCTTTTTACTTTGTTGGGTAATGTTTAAAATTCTTGATTGTTGTTTAGACTGCAACTTAAAATCTTGCTCTCGGCTCAAACTCATCTTTATATTCAACTTAAAATCTTCGAATTGGTTTGCCTTAAACACAATGATCAATAGAATAAAAAGTGTGCAAAATTAATTTAAACTTAAAATTTAAAAACTAAGTCTTATATTTTATTACGTTTAAAACTACCACTCAATTTCTACTTCAACTCAACTCATAATTTTTCTGTTCATCCACGATCAAAGGTAGGATTGTAATCAAACACTAGAGCCACCATAGTCAAATTCACCGCAGACAAAATATTCACAAATATGCTCACAGTTGCTGCCAGCAACTAATTAATCGTGTAATTAATAATAAGATAGATATTATTATAATTTCTATTATTCTAATTAAATATTTAATAAAAAAATATAAATAGTTGCACATATTTTCATGAATTGAATTTTATAAAATTTAAATTAATGAGCATGAACACAATACAATATTAAAAATGTTAAAATGCAAGAATTAAAAATTAAGATTAGACTTCATTATCCATTCTCTTCCTTATTCTAATGACTTAATATAGATAAATCCTTCCTATAGAAGCAGATGTATACATATTTTTCTTTTACAGTGATTCTTCTTATACAAGTTTTTAAAAGTATTTCTTAAATAACTATTTATCGGTTCTTCAATAAATTCTCTAGAATTAAAAAAAATATCAAAGAGCAATCAATATATTGAGATTTATTTCTATTATCATAATATATTAAATAAATTTTACTTAATTTAAAATTAAGGATTACTTTTCAACTAATTCTTGAATTCTAAATCAAGATATTATCAATTAAATAGAATCAAGCATTAGAAATATAATAAAAATCACCAATATCTATAGAAATAAAAAATTATATATAAATTGTTAAAATATATCCAAGTTAAAAATTACATCTAATTTTAAAAGAAGTTTAGTTATTCATTATAGTTATTATAACAAAAAAAAAAAGATATAAAGATTAATTTATCTATACTTCTCCACAAAATGTCCTAGATTTCTCTTGTCTCTCCCACTCTTTGTTGTTTCTTTTCTTTTTTTCTCTTTTGTTAAATTGCATGATTTAATGAATTATTACTCAAACTAAAGAGAAATTTTTGTTTAAGTTAAAAAATAATTTTTGCTTAAGCAAAAAATTCTTCGCTTTTTATCCCTTCTTTTTTACCTTTCTATTTTATCTAAGTTCCTATAAAATAAGAAAATCAACCAAAAAAAATTGAATTTTTTTTTATCTTTATCTTTTAGTCAAAATAATTATTAAAATTTAAATATTTCTAATTTAGAAGCGATTGAGATTAAATTTTCAATTTATTAAAAACTTTAAGTGTCATAATTCATATTAAAATTCACTGTAAATTGGCACTTATCATACCACAGTCAATGTGTCGTCTGATATAATTTCAAGTTTAGATTTCTATCCACTTAACTCACATCCAAGATGGAACCCAATAGTGATAAGTCCAGTCATGCTATCACATTTTGACACATCTAACAAATGATAACTTTATTTATACATCATGCATTGTCGTAACAAGGATACTAACATGTGTATAAAGCCACAAAACTATTAATAAATTATTAATGTGCCATATGTAATAGAGAAATTCTCATAATTCAAGTAAGCATTCTATCATATTCTACGGTGATCCTGACCAAATTTTCTCTAATACGAGGATTGGGGTGCCTTTTTTGTAGAAACATATATCACTGTGGCCATACACGACCAAGAACTGTCTTCAAGTAAAGTTCACATCCCAACGATCCAATAAGCGTATTCATGTTTTAATATTATCTATTTAAAGTTTTAGTTTTAATTTTATATATAATATGAAACAAGAAAAGTTGCATCTTAATATTTGTAGAGATGGTAACAGCTTTTACTATTTAAAATTAATATTTGTAAATAAGTTCTTGAACATATTTTAAATATAAATTATATTTTTATATATAATTTTTAAATATAAATTTGTATATATAATTTATAAATATAAATTTTTAAATAATAATTTTTTATGATTTTATTTTCAAATAGTAATACATTAAAGACTTGATTTGTATTTTATTATGTTGAGTAACTTTTTTTTATCTTTTTTATTTAATATCAAATTTATTTTCTTAATAATTTTTTATTTAATATAAAAATTATTTATTATTAATAATTATGATATCTATTTTTTTAAATTAAATTTTAAAATAATCATACAATATATTTTTAATTGTTTATTTAAAAAATATTTTAATCAACCTTTATATTATAAATGAAAATCTATTACTTAAGAAATAAAGCTTCAAGTTACTCTCTTTCATAATTTGTCACGTATAAATTTTATAATTGATATTAAATAAAGTTTATATGTGAATTACTGGCCTCTTTATTGCAATGACTTTACTTTTTTTTTATATATCTTTTAATCCAATTCTAAATATTAGAAATTAAAATTTTTACTTAACTTACCCTTATTACCTTATATAAATTTTAAAACTTTTTGTAATTAAATATTTTTACATTTATAAAAATTATATTTTTTATTTTTTTAAATTTTTTTAAATTATCTCTTAAATTTATAATTATTAATATTTATTAATTATGGATATTTAATTTAAAAGTGCATTGACAATAGATGATAAAATATTATTTAAAATTAACTAATTAGATTAATTTTTTATGATTTTAAAATATAATATTTGTAATTATAAAATTAACTTAAATATTTTTAAAAATTATTATTTAAATTTTATTATATATAATTATTTACAAAATATAAAATTTTATTCTTTAATTATCAAATTATATGTTTATTTATTCTAAAATAAAATAGATGTGAACTGCAACTAACACTAAACTAATTAATTAATACAAAAACATCACCAGCTCTAATGAAATACCTTACCAGTCATAGTTACTCCCAAGTAAACGTCTGAAATAAAGAACCTGGCATGGTGTAAAGGAAGAAAGAGCTCACGAATTTGCTTTCTTTAATGCGTCGAATCCTATGTACAGAGCAGTAAACCATTGTACCTCTTTTTGTTGCGACCTCTTTTGGTCCTTTCATTACTCCATTGTCATAGTAATGAACAGAAAGAAAAGAGTAGGACACAGGCTTTATCCCACGTTTGACTCAAGATTACATTCAGCACTTCACACACTCAAATTCTAAAAAGACAAATGCAGGATTAATTTTTTAAAGTACTTTTTATGTTATTCTTTAAATTAAACTACATTTTTATTTGAATGAAAAATATATTTTGTATTGTTATAAATTAGCATAATAAAACTCTAATTTTAATTAAATAACAATATTTAAAACGCTTAAAGAATTTAATCTAAATTTTGTCCGTTTTAAAAGGACAAATTAAAGAGTATCTGTTGTGGCTTCGGGTTACAACTTACCACACTCCAATTCCTTCAATCTTTTTTCTTACTTTTTGTACAAAATTATCGTTTATGAAACCATTTTTTAAAAATTTTGACTCATTCATCCACCTTTTTTAAATAACCTTTTCTGTATATGCATGCAATTAAATTGGAGAAATCAATCTTTTTCCATTCTTAGATAACATGATTGAGATTTAAAACAAACTATTTAAAGGCATTTATTGTTAATGCACAACTCTGGGATGCTATTGGCAAGAATCGATTCAATTATGGAGGTTGAAGTTTTCAAATTTGGAGAAGAGCCCATTCCAACCAATAAGTTGAATAAACTTTTCGGAAGACTTTGTCAAAAGCAATTTCTACACATAAATAACTACTTCATTTTATCACAAACCACTTAGGAACCAATTTTTTCCACATAAAAACAAATAATACACAAATAAACACAAGCAATTGCTTCATGGAACTCTTAACAATGAATGAAGAAGGATTCTTTGTAATTTATAGTTACTTTTATATACATTGCATTGGAAGAGACATAATTAACACAATAAACTTCTAATTAACCACACTATTTTCTTCTTAGGAAACGAAAAGAAAGAAAGAAGCCTCACCCAAAAGCAATGGCCTGATTGCCAAAATAATTGCAGAATTAGAATACCCTTTTCTTAGGTTTACCTTGAGAATTATTGAGGGAAAATAACTTCTTTAAGACCTTCACAATCACCACCATACTAGGCTTATACTTGGTTTGAAGAAGAGAACCATTAGTTTTGGCAACTGTTAAGGCCCTAGCATATTTGAATTCAACCGTTTCCTTTGAAGAGGAGTGAGCAAACCTTGATGCTGAAGACAACTCCTCATTGAAAACCTCCCACAACAAGTCCATTGGGACCTCTTCATCATCCACTACTGTTGTTTCCTTTCCATTTTGGACACATGAAAAGCTCTTCCTTTTGCCCTTAGAAACCAGTTTTGCTTCAAAGCAATCTTTTTCATTTTCTTTGCTTCCTTCTACAAGGACATGGTAGGAATTAGAAGAGCCTTTTGGTGATAGATTCCACAAAGGATGTGAATCAAAGTTGTATGTACAAGTGTCACTAACTGTGGGAAAGCTAAAGTCTTCTATATCCATGGTTTGGGTAGTAAGCACTTTGTCAAATGTTACAGATGGGAATGATATGTGTGTGACTTTGGGTTAGGTTTGGACCAAGTTGTTGTTTTGGGAAGGGTTATAGTTCAACTGCTGCACAAAGCTACACATGTTGTTAATATTAAGAATGGGGTTTATGATCTCAACCTTACTTTTTCAAGGAAGATCTTCACTCTCATAGGTAGGACAGGACCATACATGCCTAAACGTAATATAACCAATAAAAGGCAAAACCCACTCATTCACCTGCTTAATTTGTTAGGAAAACAATAATTGACAAAATAATAATGATAATAATGAAAAGTGAAGTAATTAGATACCCAGGAATTTGACTTTATCTATGAGATAATGGGTTTGGATCAGCTTTTACAAAAGCACGTAGTATATGATCACCTTTCTTGTACCAAAAATTGCACATTTTACATTTTGCATCAAGTCATTTTTATGCTTATTTTCAAAATTGAGGTGTTGACTAAATGAGCCATGAATGGATCTTTAGAGTTGAGTCATCACAAGTGTAGTTTGATGGTGATCGTGGTTAACAAACAAGTTATATGGAATGCATGGATACCAACAACAAAATAGTTAAAATGAGGTAGTCGGTAGCTTATGCTTGGGTGTAGAGAAAATTAGAATCGGGAGGAAAAACTTTAGAACTTGACAATTTGTGTTGTTTGAAAGGGACTGTTTGATTGTGTTCTATTTAAATTATTTTACAAAAAAAAAAAAACAGTTCTTAAAAAACTGGTATTTATAAATAGTTTTAGAAATTAGAAAGAATAAAAATTAAAAACATACAATAATTGTTATTTATTTTATTTTTCAAAATAGTTGATAAAACAAAATACATAATCCAAAAGTATATTTTTATTAAATTTAAAACCATTTTTAGAAACAGTTATCAAACAAAAAACAGGAGTATAGACCAAATAAGCTTTGAAACCAATTTGCTAAGTAAAAATCATTAAAAGGGATTTTGGCTTGCTTTTACTCTCAAAATTTATGGGCATAGGATAATGTAGCGTTGAAGAATGCTGACCAAATGGTTTGTAATATAATTTTTATTACTAGTTAGATTTTATTAAAATATAAAATTACAAATCACTTTAAAAAATCGTAAATTGAATTTATTAAACAAAAACGAGATCTATGTAATTTCATAATTTTTAGTAAACTCTGATTAATTAAAAAAAATATGTTAGAAAATATATGGGTAAGATTTTTCATGTAATGTTATTGGAAGTTAAGTCTCCCAAAAACACGAGACGATAAATCACACTTTATATACACGACCCACCAAATTAGAAAATCTTGTTCGCATGATTTTCGCCTAAAAAATGAAAATAACCAGTATTAATGCACAGAATGTACTGCACAAGTTTAAAAGAAAGAGATTAAAAAAAATCAGCGTAAAATAAGAGTCATGTAGTATCAATATATATTTATGATATTTTTATAATTGACACGTTGAAAACTTAGTTAGAAGAATGTAAATGTCATGATTACATGAAATTTTTTGTAATTACGACTTAGATAAATAATTTTTTCGCATGTGGATATACTCCAGTCACAAAATAAAAAGGAACCGATTTGGGAATTTATTATATAATGTTTTTGCTAGTTCTGTTTGACGTTATCTTTAAATTTGTGTCCTTATTTTAACCGCTTTAATTCTTCAACAGTAATTCTTTTAAAAAAGAGAAATAGATACAATAAAACAGCACAGGCAAAAAACAAAGTCCTATTAAAAGCCAAAGTTTAGACTGAGCAAATTAAAATTCTTTTACATAAATATAATATATATTATTGAAAAGTCTTATTTTATTTTTTCTTGACTTTTAATTTCAAACTCATCTTGTTTAATAAATGAGTTGAGCTTGACTCAAATATTATTACTTTTATTTATTTATGTACACGGCGGATGATTAACTTTCACGTTTTTATGCAAGGGTTAGCAAAATCTACATTCTATTTTAAGCAAAACGAAATCAAATAATTTTTTTTATCAAATCAAATAACTTGAAATTATGGAAATTTTAGTTGTATAGAACCATTAAGTTTAACTAAAAAAATAGTAAAAACTGATTTAAAGAAGAAAGGAAAACAAAACTTTTTAGTTCAGTTTCTTGAGAGATAATTTTTGTTATTAATTGCATTAATTGATTTAATTGTTAGATTATGTATTTAATTGTACATGTGTACAGCTTTCGAAAAGCAAAATGTATATACCTTTTCCAAGATCAAATCAACACAAAAAGCACTTGAGAAACCAAATTTGATGCATATGTAATTTACTCTTTCCATTTTACTACTAACCTACGAAATTTCTGGACAATGGTTTTTCTATAGAAAAAATTTCAGTATTGAAACAATGCCAATTCTTCCTCAACTAAACACTACCAGATCCTCTGTTACAGTTGTAAAAAATCAACATGGTATGACAAATGGATTGCAGCAGCAATTTTCTTCCTTATTACCCCTTTTTGTTCTATAACAATCAACGTTCAATCCTTTGAATTTCAATATCCAACAATAAGCTTTATGCTTACACAAATAATGCACATTATTAGACAATAATGAACATCCAAAAGGACAAAAAAAATCTATCAGACAGCATTAAAGAAAAATGTAAATGGCACAATCAACTGAAAATATCATTTAAGAAACTAAAGCTCAGATTTCCTATTCAAAACTCTTCTCCTGTTCTTTGTAAAATCCCGAGTGGATAGTAATTGGGTCCTCAATTTCTGCTTGTCAACGATAAATAATTCCACAAACATGATGAGAGGAATAATAATCGAGAGGAACATGTTCACTTTGTTAGGAAAATGAGACTAGAAAGTAAGATCTTTAGGGTCCTCAATAATCTGTGACAGGGTTTGCAAGAAAGAAGCTACATCAGCACCATAGATTACTCGATGATCTGCCGTAACATTGACCTGCAATTTTTGCATTTCTTCAATTATAGGAAACAAGTTCTGGACCTGGATTCACATGTATCTGACAATAAAAAAAAGTCATACTCGTAGATATACAAATGCCTGGACCCTCATACCTGCATTTGGTTCTTCATGCCAATGCGACCATCCTTGGTAGCCACCACAGTTGGCTGTGACACTCCAACAGCCATTATTGCTCCCTACACAAATTCAAAGAATGATCACACATTCATATTGCCCATCACTGTTCTAATTAGAACATATGGTCAGCCTCTTGCACAATTTGAACACAAGTAAGACGACTCACAGTTCCAGGTGGCAGAATAGCATCAAAGCGATCAACACCAAACATTCCCAGGTTGGAAAGAGTGAAAGTACCTTGAAAAGTAAAAGCAATCAGTGAGGGCAAGCAAACATTAGAAACAAAGTCCTTAATTTGGCCCAATTTGATGTCAGAGTTCAGCCATAAGGACATAATTTGCTTTAGGTAAATATCATAAAACTGTATCCTACACCTACTTCTTTAAGAGATCCCCATAAGGCAGAATTAAACTAGTTGGCAGTTTATAGCCCACACAAGTTGACTTCAATAATTTAGAAATGGGTTTATGAAGAAGAAATCAGAACATTCACCTGAAAACAAGATGATCTGTAAATATCAACAACAGTCCTGAAGTCCCACACAATACATTTTACACCTACATTATCACATTCCATACCTAAAACTAACAGTTCAATGATAAAGCATATGATAGACATGTAAAGTTACCCATGCCTTTCTTTATAGAATTTATCACAAATTCATTGTTTCACAGTTGCGGGAAAATGCAACCCAAGAAGAATAAAACTAAGTACAAGATAATCCATTGAAGTGTCCCAGTCCATTTTTTGACTACAATTTAACTCTAGACATGACAGCCCACAACAATCATGGACTCCACTATTGTCATTCATATTTTAAGGCTCTGAGCCATTATTTTCTTTAAGACAAAGATATCTCATATGCATATAGTGATAGACTTTTGATTACATTCATTTTAAGTTAACTATCAATATCCCAAGTCCGTACCTACAAATTTTAAGGATTCTATGATATAAATTGGAAAACTCATTGAAATACCTTAAGTAAAAAAAATAACAACTATACCAGTGTTGTACTCATGAGGTTGCAGCTGCTTGGCTCGGGCCTTATCAACCAGCTCTTTCCACTTTCTTGACAATGAATAGACATCAACCTACAGTATACATCAAATATATCTTATTACAATTAAGCACAATCTTGTATTAGAGGGGGAAAAAATTAGAAGCTGCTCAAAATATAGTATCAAAAACCTTATCAGCATCCTGAAGCACCGGTGTAATCAATCCGCCATCCGTAGCCACAGCAACTGCAATATTGATACAGCTATTATATGTAAAGCTGTTACCATCTCTACAACTAGAGTTCATAACAGGGTGTTTAACCAGCGCAAGTGCAGTAGCCTTGGCAAGCAATGCTGTCATGGTAACTCCCTTTGACTTGATCTAATATTTTAAAAAATAGAATTAATCAATAGACAGAGGTTAACAGTTAGGACATGAGTCTGCAAGTCCTCGTAGGAATAACAACTTCATGAAGGACACAGAATCATACACAACTAGTATTTTTGCTTTTATTTAAGTCAGATATTCATTAAGCTTGTGTTTGGTTTCACATTTGAATGACTATGGATGCACGTTTACTTTAGCGCTACAAGTAGTAACTTCTGGGTTAGATCCACGATTATAGATTTTCAATGTATTTTCAAATGCACACACTAAGTATAATTGATAGCTTTCACTAATAAATTGTTTTCCAGCTTTTCTTAATCATTTTTGTGTTCTTTGAAGATCCTGAATTCTTGCGACCAGATCTGTCAATGAATAATCTCCCATTCATCACAAGTCCCAAATAAAATCATCCCAACTAAACATAGTATTACCTGAATTGTCACTCAAATCTCAAAAGAACCAATACATAACAAAACAAAAAACAAATCATTGGCCAGAGATATCCAATCCTAATCTGACTACAATTCAACCTCCTCACAGATTACAATTTATGAATGCATGAGCAAACAATAGCCTAAGGTGAAGAAGGAAAGGTTGAAATATTCTAATGACCAAACAACTTTCTATCCAATATCATCATTGCAAGAATTTCCAACAAAGAAATGAGCGAGTTAACGAAGTTAACAATATATGTTGTTAACTTTGTTAGAATATTCACGTTCAGTACCACATACAAACAAACTACAAAGTATATGAATTCCTGTTTTTTCTTCACCCCTGTTTTTTGTTGTGTGTGTCAATCTCTAAAGTCATCAAGATTTCTACAAAACGCAGAACCAGGAAACATAGTTGGAAAGCATTCAGAACATCCCAAACAGTCCAAAAACCAAGCAAGAAGGATCCATAATCATGTTATAACCTCCCCCCACAGCACATTAAACATGTCATCACAACATCACACCACACAAAGACAAAGCAAAACAATCATTGAAAAGAAAACCAACATTATCTAAGTACTCTAAGTCAACTAGTATGGAAACTCAACCACAACATCCAATGCAATGCACATCCAAATTCAAAGTTCACCTTCTTGTACAGGGCATCAAGTGCATCCGTGGTAATGGTGTAACCAACTCTGAAAGTAGGAACTGCCAAACTCTCCACCATGTTCCTACTCACAGCACTCTGCATTGTGGTGAAAGGCACCACAGTTCCCAACTCAACCCCAGCAGCCGCCGCACTCTTCTCTGGCGCTGCCGCCACCACAGCATTCCCGGCAGCCGCAAACGCCTCAACATCCTTAGCCACAATCCTCCCCATCGGTCCGGTCCCCACGACCCTCCCAAGCTCCACCTGTTTCACAAAATTCAGTTACAACTACGCCACAAAAATGTAACTTACTAAATAATTCATAACCGCCAAACTAATTTCTAACAAACTGTAAAACTACCTTCAACTCCTTGGCGAGCTTCTTCGCATAAGGTGACGCAACAATCCTCTTCCCTCCCTCCGACGCGGGATGGCTGGAAACAACGATCGGAGCCGGCGCCGCAGAAACAGGCGCCGAAACAACCTTCTCCGGTTGAGATTCCGCTGTTGGTGAAGGTGCAGGTGCGGGTGAGGAAGAAGAGGAAGAGGAAGAGGAAGAGGAGGCTTTGGACTTGGCTTGAGGAATCTCGTCCTCATTCTCGGCGAGGAAGGCGATGGGGGATCCAACGGCGGCGGTACCGCCTTCGTCGACAACGATGGCGGCGAGGTAGCCGTCGTAGAAGGTTTCGACGTCCATGTCGGCCTTGTCGGACTCAACGACAACGACGCTGTCGCCCTTGGAGAGTTTGTCGCCTTCGGATTTGATCCAGGAGACGATTTTTCCCTCAGTCATGGTGGAGCTGAGGGCGGGCATGAAAATCTCGCGGATCTTGGCCCGAACGACGAGCGGCGTTGTCGTTTTGCGGTGGGGAATGTGGGTGCGGCGGAGGGTGGAGGAGGAAGGGATGAATGGTGTGTGGAGAAGGTGAGCCATCATCGCACTCGGTTTGTTTCAATTGAAGAGAGTGCTGTGTGAGTGTTTTGTTAAGTGTTAAGTACAAACCCCTTTCCTCGAGTTCATCGAAACAAGACGGAGGTTTCAACCACCATACCGCTCAATCTAACGTCTTTTAAGCCTTGTTTCGGCTCTCTTTTTTATTTTTATTTTTTTCCATTTACACAAGCTTAACAATTTATTTTTTAACACATTTTTATTATTAAGTAACACTTATTAGAAATTATAAATATATAAATTTACATCTTTATTTATATATTTTTTTAATAAACTTTACCTATATTAATAAAATTATGTTTCTAACCTCCGGTTTTAAATTATCCTTTTGTTTTGTTTATCTTAAAAGGAAAAAAGCCATTAAATAATAACAAAGTTTATTATTCTTTAAAATTTCATGATTTTAATTTTTTGAACTAACTCTCATAACATATCTTTCTTTTAATTTTTTCAAATACTATAAACTTTTTATTTTTAGAAATACAATAGAGTATTAAAAAGATAAAAAAAAATATTTAAGCAAAATACATTGTTTTTATTACTAAAAGCCTAAATTCACTTATAAAATTTATTTTAATTTAATTTGTAATTTCAAATTTTAGTCCTGTGATATTATTTAATTCGATCAAAATTAACTCTAATAAAATAGAGATGCCTATAGTCTAAATTCTAAAAAAACAAATCATTTTTTACTAATCTTTTACTGTAAACTAATAACTTTAGATTAGCTCATATATAAGCCATGACAGTTTTAACTTTTATTTTGTTTTCGTTTATAAGATGCAAATTATAGGTAAATACAGATTCGTACATACAGCATGTAATAGATCACTCGAGCCACTATTCTACTTGTACCTGACTTCAAGAAATATCAAGTTAAATTTATTAGTTTATACGGAGCATTTAGTCAAGTAGTCAAAACAATATGGAAGGAATGACGAATATAAAGTGAATCTTTTTTTTTTATATAACATTGAGAATTATGTTAAGAACTTGCTCAACTTTACTAATTCCAGCAATATGATTTAATAATATTGATGGTTTTAAAAATAATATTACCTTACTTAAAAATTAATATTACCGTCTGATCTGAGGTGGCATATCATGGTGGAGCAGGATAACATCTGTAACTGAAGAAGCAGAAGCAGAAGCAGAAGCGAAGATGGGTGGTTCCAATTTCACTCACTTCCTCGTTCTTCCCTCCTCTTCTCCTCCTTCTCTTTCCACTCTCTTCCCATTCAAATTTCCCTTAAACGATTCTTCTCCCTTCACTCTTCTCTGCAACCAATTCCCTTCCAAACTTACTACAACATCTTCATGCCCTTCACAATTCTCACCTCCTCGCCGTCACACTTGCTTTCTAAAGTAATCCCATTTCCTATCTCCCTCTAATTTTCTAAAAGATTCAAACTTTAGTGTAATCGATTCATGGGGTTCTTCACTTAAGTATTGTTAATGTTGTTTAGGAGAGTGGAGTGCTGAATTGGCCAATTGGGTGACTGTGTGTGTGATTGCCGATTTAGTTTACATTTTCCAAGTTTCATGATGTTTGAGAAATGTTGAGTTTGAGTGGTTTGTGTAGGAGCGCGTTGCACATTCACATTTAACACATTCGGTTTTGTTACCTTCTTAGAGGCTCTTGTTTCCTTAGAGTATGCGCATGAATGATTGTTTGTTAACGTGGAGCACAATTTGCAGAAAGATGAAAGCCTCGGGACTTGAGCAAACAGGACCCATTTTACATGGAGACAACCTTGATGCAATGAAGAGCAGGACTGTGCTTCAGGTTTTTTAGCTTTCACCTGTTTTACACCAAAATTTAGCATTCTCCTTATTCATGTCATGCCTTGTGTTGACACCTTAAGTTCTGGATACTAATTTTTTTTTTCTTCCATCATGGACGAAGACAGAAGTTTCAAAGGGAAACGCCGATGGAATTCCTCAGTACCCTTGTCACAAAACAATCTATCAGTAATTCCCTTTTCTCTGTTATTGATTTTCTTATTCATAACATGTTTTTGCGTACCATGAGCGAAATGGTGTCATGCGTTTCTAGAAAAATGACAAGTTTTGTAATGGTAAAATGTAGTGTGTGGTTTTTTATTTTATATCAAATTTTCATGCATCCTGTTTGTTTTTGTTGAAACTAACCAACGGATGATGATCTGATGTTGTAATGGTCAAATTTTGTTAAACCTCTGAAGCATTGTATCTGTAAATTGATCAACAAATACTCCAAGATCAAGAAAACATGAAAGAAAATAATCATGAAGTTTGTTGGGAGGAACTACAGGATAAATTATCATGTTGGTCTTATGCATTTAAATTTACAAAGCTCCTAACTGCATAACTGTATATAATGTTAGTGATATGGATGTACCTGTTTTTTGGTTTGGAAGATCCCTGCTTATGTTTGACTGTCGGCTAATGGACTTAGTTTAATCTATGTTATTCCACTTATTTGAAGTATTTTACAATTTTGCAGGGAACCAAATCATCCGTTCCCATATCCTGTTTTTCATGTCCCACTATACAAAATAGAATGATGTTATAACCATTTAAAATTCTTACGACACTTTCTACATCGAAGAGAGAATTAGAAAGAGAAGTATGGAATAAGATAGGTGATCTGATGAAGAGAAATAAAGAGAGAAAAAAAGTGTGGAGAAAATTTTAACTGGGAATAGCGTTACATATTAGGCAGTTCAGCAAACTGTGTAACCCAATCTATCTGTTTGGGTTGATGGGTTAAATAGGAAGTTATCATTCATAATAATTAATAAATATTTTTATCAGGTTAAGTTAACCTGCATTATGCCTGGTTAACCATCATAAAAAAGTTTTGTTTTAGTTATTTTTGGTTGCATAAGAGAACCTAACCCACCTTGACTGGCCTGTGGATTAAGGGAGGTGGGTAATAATTTATAGATTGAATCTGTCTTTAAGAAGGGTACAAACTACAACAAGCCAAACAATTGGAAATGGATTCAACTCAATTTGACAGCTCTAGGTAGCAAAAGGAATTGTGATATTTCCATTATATATAACTGTATTGATTATTGTTTATATTCAAATTGCTGATTGAGTAAAACCAATGAAAAACTTGTGTACCTTGTTAATTCTAAGCATTGTGTTAAACCTGGTTCTAACATTTGGGCAAACGTCAGCTAATTTCAAATCTTCAATTTTGTTTTAAAACTGAAATAGTCCCTAGAGATATTGCCCTCTTCAATTTTGTCTTGCTGGATTTTCAGTGAATGACTTTACAACCAAAGATCTTGAAGATGGGGGAAGATCATCCAAATGGGTTTCAGCACTCCTGTTTGGACAAACTATATCAGTGATTTCTCCTGATGTTTCATATGCAAGTGGCGCAGTGAAGATAAATGAGATATACGAGGTTGGAGAGTTGTTTGATTTAAGTATCCAACTAATATACTTGGTATTGTTATTGGGTTTGCTAGGAACTGGGACTTTCTTTGTGATTCGCCAAATTCTTGTTCGCAGAGAACTTGACCTTTCTGCCAAAGAGTTGCAGGTAAGAGCCTATGCATCTTCCTTTAGATTAATACTTATTTCTCTTAAGCAAGACATAGCCTCCTTCAAATATATTAGACCCTGAATTTTACATGTTAGTTATATGATTTTTGTGTACCATAATAAAGATTATACATGAGCACTAGCCACTTGGAACTAGTTTTTTTTATGATCCTTTGTCCTTATTCATTTTCTTCCATTGTCTCAGGAGCAAGTAAGAAGTGGTGATGCTGGTGCAACTGAGCTTTTTGAACTTGGTGCAGTGATGCTGCGCAGGAAATTTTACCCTGCTGCTACCAAGTATTTGCTTCAAGCAATTGAGAAATGGGATGGAGACAATCAGGATCTTGCCCAGGTCAGATGACGTGTTTGATTGCTAACAAATTAAATTATATAAGGTGAAGTTTGAATTTAATCTGAAAATAGGAGAATGATAGCATCTCTATGCTGTTGAGTTTTGTAAGTACAATTATACCATTATTGGCCTATCCGGATTTGACTTCTTAACAACTTTGGTAATGATCACATCATTCATTCCATCAACATAGGTGTACAATGCTCTTGGTGTGAGCTATGTCCGTGATGGAAAGCTTGACAAGGGAATTGCACAGTTTGAGACGGCTGTGAAACTTCAACCAGGTTATGTCACAGCATGGAACAATCTTGGTGATGCCTTTGAGAGTAAAAAAGAATATAAGTCTGCTCTGAAGGCATTTGAAGAAGTCTTACTGTTTGATCCTAACAACAAGGTTGCTCGGCCTAGGAGAGATGCTTTGAAGGAACTTGTTCAAGACACCAAAGGAGTTCCTATCAAATCAAATGAGAAGAAATGAATGCAATTGTGTGAACTAACACACTATGAATGTGGCATAGTTAAATACACAGTTTTCAATAATTTATTTGGTTGTGTTGTAGGGAATTTTGGCTCTATTGGTGTAGTTACTAGCTGAGGTAGACTATTGCTAGGAATGGTTGAAAGTTCTCAATTCTCTAATGGGTTACTAAAGCTGTGCTCTGGTGCTGATGGTGTATTCACGTGTGAAAATCCTCTTTTTTTTTTTTTTTTTTTTTTAATAAATGGTCATTTTCATGATTTTTAAAGTGATTCCTTCCATCACCTTCTCATTTCGTCACTGCTTATATCATATTTTTGAATCATTGATGTCCATGCTCTGGACCTGAGCCTCCACTTTGTCTTGCTATTAGAAGTCTAGAATATAATTATAATTGCAAAAATAATAATAAAAGGTTTCTCTTTGACTTATGTTAGTGGAGCTTTACCAGCTAAAATAGATTAATATTATAAAAAATAATTTACAAGAAACAATAAGTTAAGTTATGTGTTTTTCAAGAGAAAAATAAAGCAATTTTACATGATAAGGTTAAAATTTAATGTAAAAGGATTCATCCTCATTTCTCACTTCATCTCAACTGTTTCCAGCACTTCTCTGCCTCTCTCTTCAATTCCAGTCTCTATCTTCCCACTTTTGATAAAATAAGAAAATGATTGGATATTGGCTTTTGTAAATTGAGACACGCGTATACCACGGTTTATTCTTGTTTACATAATGGAGATCAACATGCTTTAACATACTTGAAGAAGACAAAATTATACTATCTTTCAGAAAGTGACATCTTCCTTTAAGATGAAACAACGGATTCAATGAATAGCTTCCAAATATTAACAGGAGCATAAAAATATTCAAAAGATTAGTTTTAGGAACGCTCGTGTTTTAGTCATTGCTAAATCTTAATATATATTTTTTTATGGGAATATTGCTAAAAGTAATTTAAATTTGACATGATCAAGTAATTTCAATTAGCAACAAGTATACACACACTCACTAACTTCTCGTTTTTGGAGAATTCGAATCCCAATTAGTGGAGGAAAATTTTTAATGGGGTGAAGGACTCACACCACAATTAAAAACAAAACTTATTTCATAAGCAAAGTTTGTAGTTTTATATTTTATATATACAAAAATTATTGTGAGATAATCATATTATATTGCAAATATTTTCTAATCATATAAAATTATTTTTTATAAAAGATATTCTAAGTCTTAGACCTCTAGAAAGAAAAAATAAAAACCATTACTTAGTCAAAAAAATTTCTAATACCTAGAAAATACAACAAAAATAATTTGGGCTATGTAGAAACTACTTTATATTGTGTGTTAAGCCATCATGTACAGTTTCAATGAAATAAACCTCATTTACATATATGATTGATGGATCAGGTTCCAAACTCTAATTAAACTCCTTAATTATGAAGGGCAATATTGCTCTTTTTGGGTGATTGCAAGTGATAGAATGTGAGAGCGGATAGTTCCAAAACTCAAGTCAGATGGTATTTTAACAAAGTAAAGATTAAAATGCATATCTTGGCCTGACTAGAACCATAGTACACATTATTGGAGTAAACTTTATGATCATAAGGATTCTCAACTAGTTCTTATGAGATTCTGAGACCCGTTGGCATGTGATAAGGATTCTCAATCAGTTCCAGCGATTCTCAATAATTCAATAGCTAAAAGACAATCACAAATACGTAATTAACATGTCAATATTTTTCAGAAAAGCATTCCAACTAAATTGTACACAATATATCACCACAACAAGAAATGTTAGTTTCACTCAAGTCTTTCAACAAGCACTGTTATCATTTTTAAAGTTATTTCTAATTTAAGAAAAATGTAAAAGGTATGCTTCTCTAACTAATATATATAATTAATTTAAAGATAAATGTAACTTTATTCACTTTATAATTAAGCTTACTTAAAAATATTCTTTTTTAACCATGTATAGATAAGTAGAATCAAAATTAAAAATCAAGCCAATCCCTACTTATAGTTGCACCCTAATCTAAATTCTTACTTTGTTTTACTTATAATATGCATTAGAGATTTGGGACCTCTTAACAGATCAAATTAAAAAAGTGTTGAAAATTATGCCAAGGTAACTTTGGTAAGCACAGTTGTGCGCTACACGTATATATGCATTGAATTGTTTGACAAAGTTTGAAACTGATACGTTGGAATCCAGTCATATTAACATACTGAGTAGGAAATTAATTATATTATTAGACACATATGAACTCATAATTGCGTAGAAATTCAACACCTATCTCTTTTTTCTTTTTCTTTTTGAATTATTATATATATAAGAAGCAAAAAACCAAAGCAAAATTACAAAGGGACCACCCTCTACATCTAAAAGCGTGTGGCAGAGTCCATAAGCATCTGCAGTTGGACAAACAAAGAGGTGCAGTTTTAGATACAGAGGCCTGGCTGCTGGTAACATTATTATTGTCTTCTCCAAAAATATGCGACTTTCCAACACCAGAATATATTATCTTAATGTTTTTATGCAATTTCAACAATTCCGAACTCCATTGTAGACTTGAAGAAAGCAGTTTGCTGATTTTCAGATTTAATTAAAATATACTAAGTAAGACATGATTGGGTTCACTTGAAATGTGAGTTGTATCTTGTATCCTTTAATTTTTGCATTTGAAACTCGAATATATTTCTCTCAAGAAATTATCAAGAGAATAAATATAAATGTTAATGAGGATAAATAGATACTTAAATTTATATAAAAAAAAATAGTAAAGAAAAAACTCTTCAATTCTTTACACCTTTATGTATAATTTCTCTATAAAATTAGATTTTCATATAATTATTTTTTTTAACACAACTCTAATACAATAAAAGTCTACAATAACAACCATCAAGTCTATCTCATTCAGTGAAATCGATTACATAAATTATAAGATATCATTAAATTCAATCAAAAAATAAATTTTTAAAAACATTATTAATCAAAAGATTTTTTAAAATAATTTTTTCTTAAATTCGTTTGAACCTTCTTCTACCCCTAATAAAAAATAATAAATAATACATATTTATTAAAATTATAACATTTAATATTATTAATATACTAATTTGATGATATCTTGTATTTTTGTTATCATTATCAATATTTTTAAAATTAAATATTAAAAAATTATTATATACCTCAAAATACACGTTAAAAAATGATAGTATTATTTAAGTTTATTGGGGGAGGGAGGAGTAGGTTTAACGTGGGCATGAAAAAGAGCAAGAAAGCCATGTTTATAGGAAGCGTAGCTTCCTTGAAAGCTCACTTCCTTTCACCACTCACCAGATTGAATCGCCCCCACAGAAACCTTCCTCCCCCATCTCATCCTTTTTTTAATTTTTATTCTTATTGACAAAAGCAAACAAGTCAAATTTGCATTTGCATTTGAATTTGCATTTGCATTTGCATTTACACATGCATGCATGCATGTCCATAGAAATTAGAGACAAACCAAACTCCATCATCCCTCCTAGTTGTCCTGTGTGGGACCCATTTTCATCTCAAACTCAAATCAAAGCTCATTAACTATTTTGGCTTCTTCTCCATTGATCAACGGTTGTGATTGATGGATGCAGAAACGAAGGTGATAAGAAATGCCCCCACCTATGTGGGCCCCACGTGGATTGACCCACAAAATGGACGGTAGTAATAGTAATAGTAACAGTGGGGTTGACCAAATATGCTTCTGCTGTGTTCAACAGCAACACACAGTTAACCTTCTTCCAAACTTGGGTTCCTTATATAAGCATTCACTTCACCTCCTTTGTTTTCTTCTTCATCTCATATTTTTTCTTCCTTTCTTCTTTTTCTCTCTCAGAAATGGAGTTTTCAGATTGCTAGAGCTTCCATTGAGCTGTGAGCCTGTGACTGTAAGTTCTTTATTCTATTGATTGGGTTTATGTTGCTAGTTCCATGGCCAGGGTTTGTTCAGAAAGCATGCAACTTTTTTACTTTTTCTTTTGGGGGTTTTATATTGGTTCCTTGAATGGTTTGTTGGATCTTTTAATGGTTTTTTTTTTTTTTGGTTCCTAAACTGTCTCTTTTTTTAACGTTTTTTTGTTGTTGGGTCAAAATCTGAATTGGTGTTGAGATACAACAAATTTTGATGTGTTGGAATTTAGCGTAGTTAATGATTGGGAAGAACAAGAGGTGAGAATGAATGGGTGGGGAGATTTTTGAGTTTGTAACTATGAAGTGCTTACTTAAAGAGATTTGGTGATTGATTTTCACAAATGGAGTGTGGGAATATGCAGCTTCATATAGAACTGAAGAGTGATTGGGAGAGAGGGTTTTGCTTTCTTCCGATTGTACATGATTTAAATATTTGTTGGAAGGGGAAATTTTCGAATTTGCATCTGATGATACCTCGAGGGAAGAATAGCTTGCTCTTAGGATTGTGTAGGTGTTGACTAAATTGAAGCCTTAGCTTTTACTAGGTAATTGGCCATACAACTATGAAGTTGATTGATTAGCTAAAGTGATTTTTATTTCATGAATCTAGTACCATTTGTCAATCTTATGATATGTGATGTTTGTTTTGTATTCACATGGACACCTATGTTGAATGGTATAAATCTTCTAGTTGGATCTTTTAGCAAACAATATTATTTTGTTATTATTTTTTAAAAATATTCGATAGACATCACTTGTTCTTTACTAAGATACCTTTGATGGACAGGGATTTTGAGTTCTCTGATTGAGTTTTAAATGGATCCACCAAAAGGAAGTTTATGTGCTAACAACTGGGCAAGGTCCTCTACCTTAACCTCACCTGGGAATGGATTACAAAATAATTTGTCCTCAGATCCGTCCTCTTTCTACGGGGTCAGGATTGAATCACCTTTCAAAGAATTCAACCAACCTTCTCCTACCCAGTCTGCACTTCCTGGTGAATCTAACAAAGATATTGAGATCCCTGATCAAGAAAATTGTCCACTGAATGACTCATCAGACACCAGTAAAGTTCAAGATTGGGATCCCAGTTCAATGTTGAATAATCTTTCCTTCCTTGAAGAAAAGATTCATCAGCTCCGGGATCTGGTGCATTTGATTGTTAATAAAAAGTGCCAACCTTTTGGACAACCTCACGAACTAGTGACTCAGGAACAGCAGCTCATCACAGCTGACCTTACATCAATTATTGTTCAGTTGATCTCTACTGCAGGAAGTCTTCTCCCCTCTGTTCGGCACACTCTCACAAACACAAATCCCGTGGTTGGACAGCTTGGCCAGCTTCGTGGGATTAACCTCCCTTTTGGATCAGACCCAAGTAGTGGTATTAGGCCTCAAAATAATAGTGGAAATAAACTGTTTGATCAGTCCACTCACAATGATCCACCAAATAATTGTGAAATGGAGCAAAACTACAATATGGAAGAACATGAGCCAAAAGATGAAGAAGATGTGGATGAGGGCGAGAACCTTCCACCTGGTTCCTACGAGATTCTACAATTGGAGAAAGAAGAAATTCTTGCACCTCACACACATTTTTGTACAATATGTGGGAAGGGATTCAAGAGGGATGCAAATCTCCGAATGCATATGAGAGGCCATGGTGATGAGTACAAAACTCCAGCAGCTCTTGCAAAGCCACACAAAGAAACCGGGTCTGAACCAAAGCTTATCAAGAGGTATTCCTGCCCTTATGCTGGCTGTAAGCGTAACAAGGATCACAAAAAATTCCAACCACTAAAGACTATTTTGTGTGTCAAAAACCACTATAAAAGAACACACTGTGACAAGAGTTACACTTGCAGCAGATGCAACACCAAGAAGTTTTCGGTCATGGCAGATCTTAAAACTCATGAAAAACACTGTGGTAAGGATAAATGGCTTTGTTCATGTGGCACAACATTTTCAAGAAAAGACAAGCTTTTTGGGCACATTGCTCTTTTCCAAGGCCATACTCCAGCTATTCCTTTGGATGACACCAAAGGAGTGGCTGAGCCACGTGATCTCCAGAGCAGAGAAAACAGCAGTATGGTAGGAAGTATGAACTTCTGCTTTGGATCAAATCCTTCAAGTGAAAATGTAGTTCAAAACATAATGGATGCGAAGGGTAATATTGATGATCCTATCAATTATTTCTCATCCTTGAACTTCGAAGGCTGTAACTTTGGTGGTTTTAATGATTTCTCTCAACCTCCATTTGAAGATTCAGAAGGTTCTTTCTCTTTTCTCATGTCCGGATCCTTTAATTGTGCTCCTAAATCTGGTGGCGGTGAATCAAGTTCTGACAATCTGTAGTGACAATTTATAATAATGTTACCCTACATAATAATGTTTATGTTTTCTTTGTTCCCCCTTTTTCCGAATAAACCTTTTTGTTTGTTAGATTTGTAAAGCCAGGTAATATCATGTACTACCCATTTCTTAATATTGAAAGAGAGGCTTTGTTTCTATTTTTTTATTTTATTTATAATTACATGATACGTTTGTTTTCCAATATAATTATTTTAAATAAAAGAGAAAGATCAAAGTGACAAGCTTATAATTATTATTAAAATAAAATAAATGCTTAAGTATGAAAAACACTTTTTGTTCTTTGTTGGTAAAGTATTGGCAATATTATTTCACGCATTTTCTCTAATATATTTCTTATTATTAAGCTAATGTATAAAGAATGGGTAATTTTACTGTAATTAGCATGATTACAACTTGATTGATTATTTACTTTAACATAATTATTGATTGTGATGAGAAAATTTGTTTAATTTCATTATATTTGATGATATTTTCTAGTTTACATCAACTTAGGCTATATAAACAAGTGTACCTTATATTGTATTTGTAAAGTGAAATATATCCAAAGTTTATTTCTCTTCCTTTCTTAAAACATCCTTTTCTCTGATAACTTCAGATTTTTTTTCCTGCCTGTTCCTTGTTCTCACTGTCAGCCTGCTTTTGTATTCCAGCTTCCAAGCATACAATTACCTAAAATTTATTCAATACTGAAGAATTTATTAAAAACATAAAATGTTTTCTCCTTTTTTTTATGGAACGGAGGTTCTGCTTAGCCATAAATCTTCGAATATTAACCATAGATTATGAACATTAAATATACTGACCCAAAAGACTCATCACTCAACTGCTATCTGTTGTTATTTTTGTGAATGGAATACGCCATAGTGGTCTGGAATTTTTTTTTTTCACATCAGTTATTTCTAAGTTCAGACCTGTACACTTGTTTATTGTTTATTGTCAGTAGTCTTGTACTTCTCGTATGACGTAATAAGTCAACAGCGCCTTTTTTAGTGGCGTAGCAATTGTGGCCCAAAAATTTCTTCAAATCAACATGCATATTATACTGTCATAAAAGAAATTCATGCTATGACAATATACTTTCATAAAAGAAATTGAATATTTAAATCAATGCCAACAAAGGTCACTCAAGTGGAAGGCTGATTGTAACATCTACCACTCAAGTTCCCAAGTTAAAAAGAAGAATCTATGGAGTATCTCACCACTTCTCTACCCGACATTTCATTAATGTGACATTAATCCTAGAAAGCAAAAAATATAACGAAATCCCTTAATCCAAGATTTCAAGTTTATTCAATCTTCTATGCGTCTCCATTTTAGTTAATGGATGTGCACTGGCATCTTAAATCCGTGAATGGTTATTCTTCCACGAAAATGAAAGGAGAATTAAAGAGCATGTTTGAAAATTGAAAAACAAGATTCTTTTAGAAATTAATCATGGAAATTACAAAATGGGCTGAGTAATGAGCTTCAAACCAGCCTTTGATGGCAAACCATAATATTTCTCCCTTAAAACTACATCATCTTGGCAAGACCAAGTAGGTCCCCGAGGAGAGCTGTTTGGCCACATGAACCTCTCAGAGAAGGGGTTCACTAAACTATGCCGAAATTGCTGCACTGTCTCACATAGTAACCCCTGCAGCAGCGAGAGAAGAGAACATCAAGGATTTTAGAAAATGAGATGGGGCAGTTTACCATGAGATATGGCAAGAGATATGAAAATGAGATATACATGCGATAGTTTATTGATAGTTTACCATGAGATATAACATTAAGTACCTTTGCCATGGATTTGATTTTCAACGAGACATCATCACTAAGCAGGACAAGTTGTCCCACATTCTCCTTTCTTCTATATTGAAGAGCGCAGTCAAGGATATGATTTTCAACTGTTGGCGAAGCACATTCCTTTGAGCTTTGAATATGAATCCACCTCCTTGTTTTCTCCATGCATTCTTCAATAAATTCCAAGGCCAAAGAAGCCTCTGATGTCCTTCTGAAAATTCTTAATTGTTGCTTCATGCTGTTCAGTTCCCTTATGACTGACATTACAGTGTTAATAAGAACCATTTTTGTGGGAAACACCTGCACTTAAATTCAAACAATGTAGATAAAGGGCATAGCATATGGTGATTTAAAACTCATTACCCAATTTTGGAATGATTAAGCGAGTCCCACTGAGACCTTGTAGAAGCTGCAAAGCTTTCCTTGACTCCTTGTTCAGAAGAGAAGTAGCGTCTGCAACCATGTCCCAGCTCTTCTTTTGTTCTCCACTAATATGCTGCAAATGATAGAAATGTAAGCGTATATGCTGAAAATGAACTCTTGAGCCATTTACAATAAGAATGATGTGGTATTGTTGTGTCTTACAGAAGGTTTAGTGTGCTTGCGTGAAATCTGACCACAATTACTTGCATCATTAATGGTTTTTGCAGCACCAACAGGACCAGAAACCACTGATTTAGAAACCATTGATTTGCGATCACCTCCAGAGTTAGTTAGTGATTGAAAGGGTACCCTTTCCGTTCTGTTCTTCTTTAATTCCATGATATCTCGTTTGCAAACCGAGTTAATGTGACATTCAATAGGCTTTCTTTGTGGCTTCCATTCTCGGGATAATTTTGGAGTCTGGTTCTCTTTGTTTGAAATGGCATTTATGTTTTTGGCTGAATAGATGTTGGGACTACAATCAGCCTTCCAATTGAGTGACCTTTGTGATTTGGAATGTTTAATTTCTTCTAGATTACCTTTCTTTCTCATAAACCTCAAATGATAGGTATTTGCGCCAGAGTTTTCCCTATTTTGAGAGAATATTTCTTCTTCATCACTAAGAACACAGAAAATATCCTTTGGCATTGCTTTATTTATGATATCATTCACATTACTCATTTCAACTTCAGTGTCAACTTTAGATATGCTCTTATATCTACTCTTTCTAACTCGAACTTGAGGAGCACTAACAGCCTTCCCTCTTTTTGCCCAAATATTGCTGAAGGTTGAACTTTTCTCTGTTGGTCCTACATGTTCTTCCAGGATCTTCATCTCAGAGCATCTTGTTGTAGCAATGAGAGATTGAGGGGTCTGGTTCTCAATCTTGTTTGTAATATTAAAAACAGCTTCCTGAGGCATTGAACAATTTGGTGATTCTACTTTAAATGATGTGGAGGAGATGCTGTTTTCATACTTGTTTACAGTATCATCAGCTATTTCATCCACTGAGTTAACTAGGTCGACACAGCATTTAGCATTCAGGGATGCCTGTAACTTTAAATTCAACTCCTTGCAACATTTATCTTCTTTTTCTCCATCAGGTATTGAATCCGCTGCTTCTTCAACAATCTTGATTTGTTGAAATTTGTTAACAGGAATAGCTTCCTCATCCAGCAAGGATGTGTTCTCAGAATTGATAATTCTAGATTCCCTTGTCAAAACATCTTCAGTTTTTTCCTCATCTCTGATTGTGGATCCAAATTCAGATTCTGTAGGCATTACAGTCACTGCAGCTATGCCTTTTTCATCAAAAGATGCAGAATCTATATTTTCAATGCTCTTATCTTCAATTAATTCATCCAGAGAGTACCATTGCTCATGGCAGGGTTTAGCATTCTGGTCCGGCAACTTTGACTTATATTGTTTAATACATTCATCTTGGTTTTCTCCATCAGATGATAAATCCACAGATGCATCTTCAACAATCTTGATTTGATGAAATTTAGCAACAGGAATATCATCACCAACAAGCAAACATGCATTCTCAGAATTGAAAATTCTTGCTCCAATGGTTAAAATATCTCCATTCTTCTCATGATCTCTGCATGTGTATCCAAATTCAGATTCTTTAGGTATTACAGCAGCACCCTTTTCATCAAAAGAAGCTGGGTTAACATTTGTAAGTGAGCTGGAACAATGCATTTTAGCCCCCTGGACTGCTTCCACAACTGGAAGACAAATGTTGTGTGTCAAAAATTCACTAAATGTACAAAGCAAATTGGTTTCTCCAGGCATCTCCACTTCAGGACAAGCATCAATTTTCTGTGTGTGGTCAACTTCATCAACCGATTGTACATAAGGGGGAAATAGAACACGGTCTTGAAAACCACCCAGTTTATTTTCACCACCAGACATTGTAGGAAAACATTCCATTTCAGTTCCAAAGGAGTCATTGGGAACTCCAAATGTTTCATCCTTAGAATAGCTCTTCCTTTCTTCATCACAACAAAAAGAAACAAGTTCCACACTGACTTCCAAATTCTCATCCTGCATGCCCAACCCAACTTTGAAAAATCAAAGATAACATTAAACATAATCTAAAATTCACGGATTTTCAACATTGACAACATTAAACATGACAAACAAACCCCCAGAACAAATACCTAAACTTCTGCATCCTTTTATAATTATCTAAATTCTCAAAAACAAGTCATTCTCAAAATTTCAAACGAACCAAAAAAGACACAGGAAACATGAATAATTTTAAAAAAAGGAAAACGAAAAGAAAGAACAATTTCACGAAAACCTTAAGTGCATTCTATACACATCAAAAGAATTAATAAAGATCGTACCTTGATTATCTCTTGATCTTTTTCTTCTTCTTCTTGGGGCACAAATGCATCCAATTGCGCAAGAGGAACCCAGCTGAGACGATAAACCCTAGTGGAAACCCCAACAGTGAAAGTGTCCCCTTCCTTCAACTCCACACTCACCCCTGGCTCAAGCTTCCTCCCACACGCCCACGTCCCATGCACTGCTCCACACAGAATCGAAACCCATAAAGACTCAAACGAAAGAACAGAAGAAGAAAATAACAAGAAATGAATCGTTTAACGATTACCGTACCAGAACCCAAATCGACGAGAGAAAGCGTGCAGGAAGAGGGTTTCGAGCGAATCTTGAGGTGGAAGCGGCTAACGCTGGGGTGCGTGAGGACGACGTCGCAATGTGGGTGTCTTCCAATGAGAACTGCGTGTTCTTCGCTGTCGAAGATGATGAAGATGTTCTTGAGAATTGCGTTGTTCTTGAGCACCGTCAATAGTGGGATTGTGGATTGCTCTTCTTGTTGCTGTTGTAGGTTCTCTTTCTTCTTTTCTGCCATGGCAATAGTAGCCATTGATGAAGAAGAAGAAGAAAGGTTTCGATGTATTTGCATGTAAATGAATGAATGAGTGAGGGTTTATACATTTGAATCGTATGGAGAAGGCAACGTTGTACAACGGCTATCTTTTTTATAAATGGGTTTTTAATACGCTTCACTCAAAGACTAATCAAGTTCTAAGCCTTCACATCGATGATAATCAGACTCAATTTTAGTAAATATTTATAAAAATTGATCAGAATTATTATGAATAGTTAAACGCAAAAATTTTTAAATAAAATATTATTCATACTTGTATAATATATTTATTATATTTAACAATTAGAATCTAAATTCTTAAATATTTTTTATTAAGTTAAGGATTTTTAATTCGTAACGTTTTATAATTGAACATTATATTGCTTTTTAAAAATTACAAATTTTACTTTTAATATGATTTTTAGTTTTTTTTTATATAAAATACGGACAATAAATTCGACTACGAGTATAGAAATACTCAACAAATAACAATATCAAAACTATTACCCACATTAATATAGGTTCAGATATAGATAATTTTTAAAAATATAGGTATAAAAATAAATATTATAATAATTTATTCATCTGCATCCTTAATAAATATTTTCACCACTACAGCTTTTTGAATGGTAGAATATAACTTTCTTCGTAACTTTATTTTTTCTTATATTAATTTTTATTTATCTTTCATTTCCTTATATTATTTATCAAAATTTTACTTTTTACTTTTTATTTTTTTCCCTCACATATCTTACACCTCATCATACAATATGAGAGAAATATTATTTTATAATTTAAGAGTTTAAAATTAACTACAAAATTTAAAATTATGATTACTTAAAAGTATTTTTATCTATAAAATAAAAATATGATATAAAAAATTATACAAATATATTCTTTTATGTCATTTTATATTTATCAATAAATTTAATAATTAATTTTATTAAATAATTTTAATTCACAAAATCAACGTAATAGTTTTAGGTTTCAACTAACATGTTTAAATTAATAATTAATAATTAATTATTAAACTTCTAACCAGTTTTTTAATTTAAGTCAACTTATCAACTATTTTTTAAATAAATTTATTATCGTAAAAGAATAATTAAGCATTTTAAATATAGATAAAAATTTGAAGGACATACAGTTAAAGTTCATAAAATATGATATTTGTTACAATATAACATTTTTTAAGAAAGAGAAGAAAATAAATGAATTATATAATATGTAAATTATTTAAAATTAAAAATTTATAAATTTCGTTTCAATATTTATATTGATAAAAGGAATTTTTAAACAAAAATGTTAAATTAATTTATCAATTACTTAATTAATATCATGAACAACAAGACATATATAAGTGTATAAAAACAGTTTTACATGAAATAATAAATATCTTACAAAATAGAATAAAGTTACTATTTTTAAGTAATCAAATTTTAGAATTATTATACAATAATTTTTTAACATGGTGCAGAACTACAAAATATTGTTTTTAATTCAATAAAGAGAACAAACTAATTATTATTAAAATAAATAAATTTTATTAATTGTTTACCATTATAATCTTAGTGTAATATTATTAGCACTCATATGTATTTTCCTATAACTATTATTTATATTAATTTTATAATATTTAAAATATGATAAATCACATCACATCTTTTTAAAAAGAAATGAGTTTGAAGGTTAATATTTTTTAAATTAGTAAATAAATTCTTTTTAAATTAATTAATAAAATTCAAAACATGATAAATACTGTATTTTTATTTATAAAAAATAGATTTTTTTAACGTTAAATTCACTAAAAAAATAGATTAAAAAAATACAATTCTTATACCAAATTAAAGTAATAATCTAAATAATAATAATTACAGTTGACAAACATAATACAGTAACCTTTAAAAGATAAAAATTGTTCTTAAAATTCTAAAAAAATGATTATATTAATCTTTGCATTGTAATAAAATAATTATGTAATAAAAAAAATTAGTCTATGCACTTACTGGAGTAAAATAATTTTAAAAAAAGTATTAATAATATAATTTTTAATATACGATTTATTATTTATTAAAATTATAAAATTATGATTAAGATTTATTAAATTAAAAAAAGTATATATTTTATAATTCACAGTAAATTTTGATTATGTTAAAATATATATTACTAACATTTATCTTATTTTAACAAAGATGCAGTTCTCTACATGTAATCGTATAATGCACGTAAAGTCAAAGAAAACATTAAATATTTCCGTTTGTTCCTCCTTCTTAGTTCAAATTCAATTATAATCGATGCCATAAAACACGATAAATCTTCCAACAATCAAACTCAGTTTCTTAACCAGCTTCATTAAGCATGTTGCAAGCAATAAGGCTTAGCTACTTACAATTAAGTAGATTTAACATCTTCAAACGTATCATCATCACAACACACCCAGAAAAAAAATTTCTTCCATTTTTTTTTTATCTGTCTACTTATATGGATAGCATGCATATTAACAAAATGCAGAGTTATAAATAATCCATGCATTTTTTATAGTTAATCTAAATGCACACTCATATTTACCTGTCATTTATAGATAAAATAATTATTTTGAAAATGCTAAACTATATCTGAACCTAAGTTGTCAAGGCAGAAGATTCACCTCCTTAAAAGCTACAATAGTTTAAAGGGAATTGCTGACTATTTCATTACTTCAAATGGCTAAAAATCCCGTGTTTCTTTTTCGCTGACACAAGAGATTCCATTAACATAGAGAGGATGTTTGCAACTACTCCTCATGGGTCACGATCCCCTATAGAGATAGCAAACTGTGATTTACAAGCTATAATAAATGCAACTTTCTCTGAGTTTTTAGTAGGTATGGTATAGTAGACAAGAAAAAGAAAATATAGCTAATTATGGTTTCCATGATCATCATTAGATGTTAATATGTCAATGATTAATAGCTATATCTGTCAAAGACATGAAATTAGAATAAGGGGTTTATAAAAACCTATACACTTTAACAAAGTCTTTGCTGCTTCTATATATGAGAGACTCTGTTAGGATTCTAATTATTAATTTGCACAAATTAACATGTGACAATTACCAAATATGTCTTAAAAGTTATAACAACTATGGTGACATTCAGAACATATATTGATTGTTTTGGCTGGTGTGGTGAAAACAATACTTAAAGGGTACTAATGGCACCAACACAGATAACCAAAATAGCGTACATGCTACATTCGTAGCCTAGGCATAGGAGCTTCTCGAAGGCATTTCGTGTCCATTTGGGTTATGTAATAACACAGTAAAAGAATTTTAAAAACTTAATGTTTATTTAATTTAAAATGAAGTCGTTTACAAAAATCCATTAAAGGGGGCAAGTTATTTATTTGGTCTTTTTATTCCGTGTTCAATTGTTAAAAAATAAAAATAAAAATTCAAGCCACAACTCATGAACCCTTAAATATGCAGTCATAGCCAATGAAAAAGCAAGAACATCTCCACTTTACATTCTGAACTTAATACATTTCACACTGTATAGAATCAATTTCAAAATTCTCATAAATTGTTGAGAAAATTGATTTTGATTAATTGTCCCAGTATTTTATATATATATATATATATATATATATATATATATATAATTGTATTTTTAGCTCATAAATGTGACTGTGATGGGTGAAAATCAAATCAAGTTAATCCTTTAAAAATATATTAGACTTAAATCTTATATATTCTTTCTGTAAAATTTTAATATTTAAAATTTAATATTTTTTGTCTATAATAATGCTATGATTAACTAAAATGTTATCATGTGTCAATTTTTTGTTAGAATACATTAGTAAGAGAGACTAAAATTATTGAATTTTAAATAAAATAAATAATAAAAATTTTAAGAAAATAAAATTAAAATCTTATGAAGATACGAGAAGGAAAAACATATATTAAACCAAATAAATTATTAATTTATTTTTTATAAACGTAGCAATCCTAATTACTGCATTATATAATTGATTAATCAAAGTTTCCGAAATAAAAACTAACCAAAATTACATGGGGTTAGTATTGTTTTTTATACACTACTAAGATAGCTATGTATGAAGTGGTTTTATGCAACCAAGCCATGCAATCTTCAATTGATAATCGTTTATGCATTGAAAGATAATGTATTAAAAATTATTTTTGAAACACAGTCAATTAAAAAAATTACATTATTAACGAATTAGATAATATGTTCAGTATAGTTTTTTAAATTATATCATTATGAAAATAATTTTTAATGATACAATAATTTATGACTGGTTAACAACATAAAACATATATTTATATTATCAATATATTTTAATTAAATCTAATTTTAATTAACTCATTGGTTACATATACAATTTGAGAAAATCAATCAAGTAGATTAAGGATTTATTTGTTTAACTTAAAAAAAATACTATATATATAATATTTTAATATCATTTTAAAAGATAATAACCAAATTCTTAATAATTATTGAGATCTCTTGTAAAAAAAATTTGTTTTTATTAAGTGTAAGTGATTATCTTTCTCTTACTCTTATTTAACATACTAATATTCATATTGATCCTACAATTTTAGAATATTAAAATGGTCATATCCAACACAACATTGGCCGTTTTAAAAGATTAGCATGTAGAAGATTAAGTTAATTAACATATCATCTTTTAAAAGTTCAAAATAAAATACTATATAATATCAAAGAACACTAACAACTTTACATTAAAAAAATTAACACATAATTCTTAGATATATATTTTTCTACTTTCATTAAATTAGATATATATTGTTTCAGAGCGATTAAATTTTTCAGTAAACTCATTTATAAAGTAACACATAATTTTAAAATTTTAAATTATTATTCAATTAACTACATATATAAATTTTTGTAATCTTAAAATGTTTTTATTTTAATATTATTTTTTATATTTTACTTAAAATTTCTTTTATAATATTAAATATTTTAAAAATACCCATAAATGCTTAGCAATTGCTCGCTATATTCCTT